GGCGTTTTGTCATGCACATATATACTGCAACAGGACACCACGCATTATGATGATGACGTCACAAGCTACCTAAATTGATGATCGTGTACACGGAGGTCTACATACTTCACGTGCAATTTACTTTCGGATCAAGCGCAGATAACTAGACTAGGCACGCTTGGTCGAAGCGAAATACGGAATCGAACACAACGTCGTAAAGTTCCAGCATCTCTTTTTCGAGACCATACCTATCTACAGTCATAACACATTTGTGTATGCAAACACCCCATTCACCATTCATTGCGCGCATCTAGCACTGGGTAGTGCTTTTTGGCTGAACAATGGTCTCTATAAGCATATTAGCAGATTTATGAAGTGACTACCGATCCTTATCCGCCTTCGGATTATATTGTCAAAATTTACCTGCTTGAACGCAATTTGCATTGGCATTCAATGATGTGTCAATATCATGTGGCGAAGACGCCTTGTCACACAACTTGCTGCAAAGCGAGCCACGATGGAATGTCAACGTCGTTGACATCCCTTCGCGGTCTTTCGTGCTCACGGCATCGATCAATATCGTGATCATTTATTCACCATTTTGCTCGCTTGTGGCACCCAATTTTGCCCAGATATCGTCAGCAAACTTATTCATCATGCATGGTGTTCAATCTTGTGCATTTAATAAAAGGTTAGGCGAGATTATGGTGCACTCGACGCCTTTCGTGTAGGATATATATTGCTGATACTACGATACAAGGTTGCCCAGTTACAAGACGTTGAGCCGCGTAACCAAGACATCCATGCGTAGAACTACACGGATAAGTGGCTCTAGTTTATGTAGAACATGATGATCAGGATATCATGATAGAAGAGATACAATGTATCGAGATGCTGCAATATATGCATAATAAGACGAGGAGATTAAGGTACGCTAAATAGTAATAAAACAATTTAACTTGAGATAAATTCCATAAATACTTTTCAGATGAGAAGCAGAAACGATACATACTTTGCACAAACAATTTACTCCACATGTTTGATCTTACTCGTTCTTCGGCTCGCATAGAGAGTTATCGACTAGGTAGCGGGCCTGCGTACACACGTGGTATCAGCTCGAAAAATATTGAGCAGCTTCGGTGGTTGGTATTCTCGGATCGTTTTGTGTGTGTTTATTACAAGGTTACTACACCACGAACGGACCTTTACCATTTTCTTATCAAGTCCACGACGCTAGTACCAGCATTCTGTGTCAGCGCATAGAACAAGGTAAGTTTGTATTATAAGGATGTGTCAGCAGATAGTGCTTCACGGTCCAGATGTACCAAGAGAATCGAGTCGCCTACGCTTGTGTGCACCATGTCTTCTACTGCAAACACCGATCATGCACACATTTTCATAGCATCCGGTCTGCAATGTCTGTTTTCCAACAATTAACGCTACTACTGCCATTACTGGCTTCATCTATGGCGATCATGACACTCCGGAAACATTGGGTGTTTATTCGAAGTGCTATGATCTTTGTGATCACGCATATGGACATTAACGGATGACCTCTCTTTCACATATCACCGTCTAACCGACATAGGCACATAAGACTCCGTTCCCATACAAAGACTGATATAGTCATGTCCACATTTCACCACACTTAGTCACTCAGGTCTATGTGATGATTTCCAACATAGTTTGAGCACGGGTGGGGTGTGCTACAATACATAGCAGCACAGTGGTAATAATACCTGGGCTCAGATAATGGGTTCAATTCCTAATTTGACAGGACCCATTCATTTACAAAATGTTGGTGCGGTAGGGGTGTCAAGTCCTATAACACGTCACATATGGGAAAGGAAACGACAAAGGGTAGTAAGAGGCATCGTAAAAGGTCTGATAAGTGTTCAGTCCATCCAGCTAGCATCTCATTTGGCCGAGTGGGTACTGTGTACATACATAAAATTGATCACGATGTATGCGGCATTTCCGATCGCGCAATCAGAAGCAATTGCCACATCAGACTCGGTACATGTTACAAAGCAATATGCCGTTAAGATACACTGCAGCATATTCATAGAGCTGCTCATTAAATCAGGTATGAGGTACAACGCGAGCGGTACGCAAACGCAACTTTTTTCTACAGTATGTCAACCAACCATGTATATGGTTTGCATGATTAGTTATGTATGGTGCGGATATCAGCGCTCACAAGGTACTGTGTCATTTGAAGTTTGCAATAATGTTTCCTTGGAAGTTGGTATGGCTTATTACATGTCATAAACGTACACAACTTTTGCGTTTAATGACCGTGAGGCAATCAGGAGCCATTAGATGCAAGTCGTGTCAAGTGCGTGCTGTAGAAGACGATCTGTTTCGCATGTCGACATTGTGATCAATATCGTTCTGATGCATCAATTTCGCCATTCGTTCATTTTGATCAACCTCGTTCTGATGCATCAATTTCGCATTGAGTTCATTTTGATCAATCCCGATATGAAGCATTGCATTTACGATAGCAGCTACTTTGGAGTCTGTAAAAGGTATAATGAAGTGATTCTAGCGTTTTTTTTTGTCAGAAGCTAGGCAACCAGTAGGTTTATACGGAATGTTTGATACTGTTTATGGTCGTGTTAAACGATCGTGTCGGTCTTTCCATTTTTTTGCGATGCAAGCGTGCTGACTGGAATATACCGAAGTAGAACTTGCACGATCTCCACGTATCCACCATGTCTGCCTGATGTATTATTCGACGACGCCATCCATCATGTTCGGCTTACCAAATCGTAATAAAATTACACGGATGATCTGCCTCACTTTTTTGTATCCTTCGGCCCAATGCACGAGCGTTTTACCTCGATATACGATGACGGAACGGCATGATCCCGGCGCGCCGTGTTGCGACATCGTTCATGCAAAACGAATGAGCAGCAGTCTAAGTTTGTACCATGTATGTAGGGCTTTCATGATGATGTGGTGATAACGACGAAAATGATGCGGTTAGAGATGACTAGCTTCGAGCAAGCAATGACGGCAACGCGGAGTTCCATGAAGTACGAAGGGCATCTACGCGCTGGACCATTACCCGATTTGGCCACTGGTGTACCTTACTTACCAAAGCCGCAAGCAACAAATTTGCAAGGTATGCATTGATGTTGTAGAGGAATGACTGTTAGATAGACCAAGGGGAGCTTTAGCTTATGCCGTCCTCGCCTACTATTCTTGTCCACTGCAACATACACCACCCGTCCATCCTTGAGTCCTCCTAAAGTATTCTTTTCGTCTACTGCACAACACACCACCCGTCCATCCGTAATTCTGCATCATCCGTCCATCGATGTTACTGTGTACCGCAACCTCGTCTTAGAGCGAAATGTTGAAATCAGTATGTCGCTCTGGCGACAAAAGTCGAAACTATTCGCTGCACCGCTTCAAACGGTCCTCCAGCACTTGACTTTTACAGTAATCCATTTATACGGAAAACAGCGTGCATCGAAAGAGACCAGACTGCAATCTAGCCCGCCATTCAAACGTTGTCGCCTCGAGATCCTGAGTTGCCTCACCGAGCAAGTTTTAAACAAAAATGTCTGAACAGCATCTGATATCACTTAGAGGTTGGGCTTTGTCGCTTTGCGCTGCCAAGAACAAAGTAAGCGCGCATCTACTTTTGGGTTTTTAGGCATGACTGACTCAGATTCGAAGGTACAGACCCTCTCGTCACTAACACTCGAACATGGGTGGACTACAAGTGATATGGCGTCCGTCAACAACATATGTAGAAAGGTTAGAGCAGAAAAATGTGCAGCGCGTAAACACTGACACCCTTACAGCTTATAACGTCTTCATCGACGAGTCTGAACCGCTGAGTCGTCCACTACTTCACAATATGTATCGATTTTCAGCGTGAATCGACAATACTGTGCAATGATCCGTCATCAGTTGACTTCCGACTATGGCCGCTGATCAAACCGATGCGACGAACAGGAGCGTATGGTCTGTCATCGTGTATTGTGTCATTTACTTGCACTACATCTCCTCGTAAGAATTCTGCATCATCTTTGGTCCGAGTTACACACACTTTTGGTGCTGTGCGCCATTCGACGCAGCTAAGACACGGCGCATCTGCGTACCGACCAAATGTTCACCTCCGTGGCAGAATGGGAAATGCGCCATCAGAACAAAATCCTACCTATACTTGTCAGCACGAGATTTCGGATAGCGAAGTTGACAATCTTACAGAGATAACTGACTTATCACATCTTTACAAGCAAAGGGTGTTGATGATTTGACTACCACGAGGGCGCGTTTTGCACTCACCGCTCTGCGGTACTCCCTTGAGAAGGAGATTATAATCGACTATGCCATAGCCGGAGCCTACGCTTGCCATGTCTTACGTAGAAGACCTGTATCGGTAGACTTAGACGCAGGAAAGAAATATTGACAACACGGTGACCGGGAGCAAAGGATAGCGAATGAGATAATGTTAAGACTTCATTTGGATGGCTGATACACAACACAACAGCTCACGGCTCATATGTTGCATGACTTCACGCATTTGGCTCATCAGCGATAAGCTTACCCGCTTCAAACCCAGTTATAAGGACAAAATGATCTGACCGACCGCTCGTTACCTCAACTTCCAACAAGGGATGTTACGACACCTTGTGATGGCACTTGTTGATGGAGCTGTAGCACAGGACAGCCAGAGAGAAACGACGAGGAGACTTTGCCATTTGGAAGGTAAACGTTCGAGTTATTGCTTTTTCGTCGGATTATCTATGTATTGAAATGCGCGTCACGCATACGGGGACTGTGGAGAAGCTGAAATCTTGAGGAAGTAAACTAAGGCTCGAGACTCTGTTGATCAAAGGTTGCTTGGATTCTAATGAAGATGCATGCTGCACGTGGATGTGTAAGCCGTTGCCGAGTGGTCGTGCCAGATCATCCATTGCATTGGTAAGCCTCTTTCTTTACCGCGCAGGAAGAGGAGCTTTCAGTGTAAGAATGGCAACGCCTTCTTCGAGCGATACAGGTCATATTGTATCGGCCTCACGGAACGTGTGAAACACCTTGTCCCAAAGCGAAAATCTCTTGGCGAAATTGAACCGCTGGTGCGTATGGTGGAGGTCGTGATCATGCACTCGCAAACACATGCCGGTAATGTCATGCAGCAGTGGCATTTGAGGGAACGACACGCCCTTGATGTCCAAACCCGAGTGACCTGCGACTTCCACGTACGTCTTGTACGCAAACAGCAGGTGCAATTGAAGATCGGAGAGCGGAAAGCCAAGACTCCACGCAAGACAGAACGGTATTAAATTGGTGAGGGCCAAATCCATGCCGTCTTGCGCATACGTCGACAGCGGGCACGGGTGAAGATGCACGTGGTGCCGCTTGTGGACGTTCTTGTACAGCCACGGAACGCGGTGGCACGTCCAGTGAACCACAAAGTGGAAGAAGTCAAAGATGATCTCAAAGAGCAGCGATTTGGGGACAAACACGATGAACTCAACCAGAAACGTCTGCCAGTCCAGACTGCCTTGTATAGATCGAGTAGTCTGCTTTGCAAACCAGAACGACGCGCACTCGGTGGGCACCACGACCCGCAAGATGCAGAAGTAGATGGATCTGGTCTGCTCGTTCGTGAGCTGCACCCGCTTCTTGCCTTGAATCTGAGGCTTCTTGGTCGCTATCCACTCGAACCACTTGACCATCGCCACGATACGCAGCAAACTCACGCTGTATACCATAAGCAACTGCACCCATAGCGCAGGTGACTCGATGACGTTTGGCAGCGACGACAACGAGGCGTAAGTAAACAGACCGACGCTGCAGATGAATGCGTTGATGAACGTGTAGAATTTGCAGGTTCGCACGACGAGTTTGTACATAGTGCTCCACGATGCTGGAATAGTACTCGAGGTGGTGATTGCTATATCGCAAACCCTGCTGCTCATGACGATGGACAAGTACCAGATGCGCTATCAATTGTTTAATGAAGCGTCGTTGCTCGCGATGATGGGCGACGATCGTTTGAAAGAGGCATTGGGTTCGGTTGCGCATACTGTCCTGCGATACTAGAGGGCTGCATCGACATCTCTCGTGATGAAGGATGCTGCCTCATCAAGCTCAACGAGTCACTGGCCGTTAGGTGAATGCCAGACACAACGACAGCAGGACGATATGATGCGTTGGTTTTGGAACATGGTGCGCTACGATCACACGAAGTGTTGATTCTTGGAGCACGCGCGCATAAGTGATCATGCGAGCAACTGAACTTTTGTGGGTTTCGTCAGCTACTACCTGCGGTCGCACGGATGAATAAGGTCAGAGGACTACGGTTTGCAACATCGTTTCCGAAAAACGGACGACTGACGAGATTGGTCCGACCCACGATTGGAGGCTCTATCACTCACGACCTGTCGAGTCGATCTCACGAGAACCAACGACCAAACGATCTCTGGGCATGGGTCAAGTCGTGAGGTCGATCGACACTTTGCGTCGCAACATAAATCACATGATGTGGCCGTAGTCCCGGCTGACTTGGCGTTCCCACACACTCGCGTCTACGAAATATTTATCCGAAAGGTCGGACTGCCTCATCGACTCGACGCTGCTGACCCACACACGATTCGGTGCACAATCGACAGTGATGCACGATGAGAACCAGAAGCACGACATATCTCCGTGACGTCCATTGTCACAGTTAGATGCTATTTCGATTAATTTTCAACGCTAGAGGGTTTCTATGTGCGTGCGCTACGCTCCCATCTCGAGATGATGAAACCATTGCGTTGTCCACGGATGCGTGATTTTAATACGTCGGCAGGTCAGACGTTTTCTTTTAGGTTGGCACAATGCCGCTGTGTCGAACGGATGTACGACGTCGTTCGTTTAGTTGTGTCGGGAGTTCGCTTGCGCGATGAAGCCTGTTCAAACGCTAGCCATCTACTACCACCATCGTGTACGTGGTAGTTGCTTGCTATACACACAGGAGCCACGTACTTTTCGAGGCCAAGCTTGTTTGCGGTAGCAGCAATTGGTAAACGGGTGCTTTGAGAGACGACAGAACTCATAACTAAGCCTCAATGACCGACTGACGCGTTGACGGCTTCGTGCGATGGTACAATGCCTAAGTGTTAGTTGAAGCAGTGTCATGGACGAGCGACGTATTCCTGTTCTTGTGATGAATTGACTGCTCAACACGATCAAACACCTCTGTCAAGGTCGTGCTCTGTTTTGTTTGGCTCAGCTCAGCTCAGCTTCGCGCAACCCGCATACGAGCAAGTCATTCCTAGCCCCAAAGTGTCACGCAGGAGTCATCCGATCCGTAGAGTATCGGACGCGCTGAGCACAACGATAAAGCGATTTGCGAGTAAACTTCTCGGACGTAATCAATAAGTTCATCTATGGAAGTCCTCGCGGCAATGCCCGCGTGTCTGCTGCGATCGATCACAAGTTCCAGACGTCAAACTCGTCTACATATCGTGGAAACGCATAGCGACGTGGCACGAGTGTTGTTCGGCTATCGATAATGGTGCAGCAGCCTCAGCACCACAATTCGTAAACGCTAAGAAATATGCAAAAACGATCGTTCTTCGTGCGCGACGATGCAAAGTCTGCTGGCAAGCGAGCTATCCGCAAATGCTATCGCAATGTCTAGTGCGTAGCTACAGCGCTTTTCCCGCGAATGCATTGGCACGAAAGGAGTTAGTATTGAGGAACTCTGGCGCCGACACATTGATCCTCATCGCTTGCCAAGCAAGTTGTGGAGACATCGAAAATAGCCGTGCTTGTCACAGTACCCGCGTTGTGTGTGAGGATGTATCCATTGGCTCGAGACATCGACCGTTGTCGCACTGGAAGCTGCATCGATAGCGACACCAGATAGCTAGAAGTGTCTTGACGAGTATTGCTGGTCGCCACTGTTCTTCAAGACGACTTCAATTCAACAGCAACTTCTCTTGGCGATACCTGCTGTTGTTCGTATGGCCTTGCACAGCGAAAAAGGTGACCTGCCTCCGCCGTTGGCTCTTATTGCTCGCTCTGTCTGATCGATTGTACTACTTGGAGCTTGTGGCCATATTTCTTGCCGTCCATCAGGCGTTAACGATGTGGAAAGAAGACGTACAGATATCTGGGAAGACACGTCGTGGGAAACCAGAACACCCGTTTCCAAATGGCTAAGCACCAGCATGAAGGAGACAGCCTGACCGTTGCTACCTTCTATGGCTTGCTTTGTACAAACAACAACAAGAAATTTGGCTCGGTAGCGCCCGCTCAGCGGTTGACGGACCGAATTTCGCTCTGTAATGGACACGAACTAGTTCGGACAAGACTAGTCACGTTTGGGCCAAGATTGACAACATCATGAGCCGTAAAACTTGTCACGTCGCGGACGTAAGTCGTACTATCTCGTTTAGTCGCCTTGAGTAACAACATCGACGTGATCACTCGCTTCACTGAACAGCATACCGCGAACGATCGTGTTGTTTCCAGCAACTGCTTACTGTAATACCTGTGTCCGAAGTTCAAAGGCCGACGGAAGAAAGTTGTAGATAGTCTGCAATGACTTTGTTTTTACCTCTGTTGCTGCTGTAGAGATTGACAGCATTGGCGTCAAAGTCTTGAAAAGCGCAAACTTGTTGTGCCCGATGAGCTCGATATGCAGGATAGACTGGTGAAGGTCCAGCAACAAAGAAGTAGACAACACGTCAACGGGGCGATAATATGCAGCCAAGTTTCGTCAATCTCTGGAGCTCTACTCGTGACAGCAAAAGTGTTTGAAGATCGAGGCAAAGTCAGTCGGAGCAGCAAGTACGTCGACGCTCGAATTTATAGATGTACTTAGATAGTTCTTGCCAGAAGTTTACCACTGCAACTGTAGCCACAATGTTATGACTCAAGTACCAGAAAAATATGGCGCTGTGTTTGCGATACACATAGCGTTGTGCAGCGGTGCGGAAATGGGCCACCAACTAATGCATCACGGCGTCTACAATGTCTGGGAGCAAGAATCGTGCGCACGGCGTCTACTTTTGCCGTCTCCGTTTAGCCGACGGACGCGAGTCTTCCTTCGCGTCAAAATCCTCATCACCAGCTGTGTCCCATTCCTCTTCTTCTTCGTCTGACGACATGCCGTCGCTGAGCGAATCGTCAGACAATGCCGAATCGTTTGTCTGAGACAGCGCTTCTGCCGCCTGAGTATCCTGGGTCATCGGATCAGCTGCGCTGCCTTCCGTTGCGTTGTGCTCGCCTCGCACAGAAGTCGTCTCGATGGGAGGTTTCGGTCGACAAACTTGTGTGCCGCGGGCGTACTGCGCCGTCATCTCCGTTGCTTTCTTGTTGAACAGCTCTCGATTGTGCTTGAAAGCGTTCGCCTGACCAAGGTTTGTCGCACAGAACAGACCGTCAGCACCGTTATTATTGTTGACGCTAGTGATCAGGATAATGATAACGATACACGGCCGAGGTTCGTACAATGTCTGGCATCAGGCCGTCATCTGCATTGGGTTCCGCCATCAGTAAGCGAATCGTTGTCAGCAACGTGCTGATATTGACGGACGGCAGCCACGAGCCCTACCACAGCAGCAACACGACAGCAGAGAACTCCATCGTCTCGAACACTGATGCACCGAATCACGCAAGCTGCCTTGCTCACCTTGGGTTGCGTTTTCAGCGTGTCGAGACAGATCCGACCAGCATCGTCAATGTTTGGATGGTAAATGGGCGTCACAAAGCACACCTTTGGCGGCTCAAAAGGGTAACTGCTTAGCCGCCCACGCAAGAAAAGAACAAGACAGCGAGCACAAACTTATTAGTACACATCACTTTGTCTCCAAGCAGAAACGGGTTTCTTGACAACCAAAGAGGTGCAAATCGTTCCCCAACGAGAAGCACAACACGATACTGAAAAGCCCATGAACACCACTACCGTTCTGGAATGTCAATATCCAACTGGAACACGCCCTTCTCGTACGGAGATCCGTCTGGACCCAAAATCTCTGTCCATTATGCGCACATGTGACGTAACGTGACATTTTCTCTCTGCTCCCGTCAATACAAACAGATCGATACGAGACGACGCACGGGCTTCGAGATGGTCGAGTTTGTCCTCTATTGGCCACGCGCTGACGCCTGTAGAGCGCAATATGAGCCGCACAGCCGTCAAACTTCCACACATCGACACTCGACAGCGTCCGCGAGAAGTGTACCAAGCAATATCAGCAGCTCACCAAAGGGCGGATCGCTCTCGAGCATCGCAATCTCTCGGTGCATTCGCCGGCGCATGGCCGCCATGTTAGTCGTGTGAAGTTGGGGCTCTCTTTTGCGGTACTTTCATTGGCTGACAGCATCTGATTCGGTCCAGCCGCCAATACAATACATGGTACACAATACATGGCCTGACAGGACCATTATTGTCCGACGGGAGTCCACGCAAGATACTTTTTGCGACCTTCCCTATGAACAGCTACCAGCACCTCGAGCTTCTTGGCCACGGAGGCTACGCCAGGTATGATCTGTTGATCTATTGAATAGAATACATACATTTATGGAACGATGCGACAAGTTGTTGGGTTTGTCACATGGCAAGAACACGTCAACAGTCGATGGACAGTTGAGGCCGACAATGGCTCTCGATGAACCAAACCAATAAAGTGTATCGTGATGCCTATGTCAGTGTTCATCTCGTCCGACAGTCCAACTCGTGCGATCTCTACGGTGCGTACATTTATTGCTACGTACGCACATCTCTGCAATAATTCTCGTGCATGATCGCAATGTATTTAATGCTGAGGATAAGTCGCACGTGTGTTTTGTCGGTATTCAGCTTTGAAACGCATTCCGAAATCCAAAGTCGTGACAGAGCAGCAGACAAAGCGCCTGGAAGCCGAAGAGCATATTATACAGCACGTCAAAAGTCCATTTTTGTGTCAAGGGTTCACGTCGTTCGAGACGGCTGATGACGTATCGATTCTGCTCGAGTATGTCGAAGGACGTGCGCTGTACGAGTGTGTGTGGCGATACAGGGACGTGGGCAGGTTTCCAGAAAAGGTCACCAAGTTTTTTGCCGCGCAACTGGTTTTGGCACTGAGGGACCTGCATGGTCAAGGGTATATCCACCGTGACCTGAAAAGCGGCAACGTTCTGGTAGCGAAAGATGGCTTTGTCAAGGTGATAGACTTCGGACTTGCGAGAAAAGTGCCCGACGGAAGTGGACGCACACGATCGATGTGCGGCACGCACTATGTCATGGCACCTGAGGTCAGAACCCGGCAGCCCTACGGAGTCGCTGTTGACTGGTGGTACGATAAGTCGCAGTCCGAGTGGTTTCGGTCTTGTTAAGAGTTGTTTTCCACACGTCGTTGATGTGGACCCTCAGGAGTTTAGGCGTTGTGATGTATGAAATGGCAACTGGTCGTCCACCCTGGGAGTATCAATGTCCATACGGCAGTACCGTGGACGAGTACTTCGATGGCATAAGGCACACGGCCAAGGTCTTGTTCCAAGGTGCCAGCCAGAGCACTGAGAAGCTGGAACAGGGACTGAGCACTGAGTTGCGATCGCTGATAAGGTACGAGCGAGCGGCTACATCCATTCCTCTTGCTACGAACTGATCCGATTGAGTGTAACACATTAGGAATCTACTGACGATTGATCCTCATGAACGCCTTGGCGTAGATGGAGCAACAAAGGTACGTGTCGTTACAAACGATATACACGCGTTCATTTTCCGCAACGCAATGATGTCTCACGAGCTGTGACCGCTTTGTCGGTAGAAAGGTCATGAATCATGCATGGTTTCATGATGTCAACTGGGAACTACTCGAGATGAAAGACGAGTCCATTGTGGTACCGTATGATGCCCAAGCCGACTACAATGCCGCTCGCGTCCGCACACCTGCTGAAAGTCAAAGCCTGTCCAGTGCAGAAAGCATCGACTCGGACGATAACGCAAAGTACTTTGCCGATTTCTGATCAGAGCTTTGTACGATCGCCGTGAGAAGCTATCCGGCAAATGTCGTGATACATGTCAGCAGACTTGCGCGCAGCAGCCATATCGAAAATGGATGACGTCCAAACATCGTTCGCCGCGATGCTTTACGCAATGAAAAAGTGGTCTGTGCAGTGGTATGGGTGTTCCAAGAAGGTGGGGCCACAGAAATGATCTCTTAGACAACCAAATTTCCATCGCACGTAGCACTTCGGATTTCTGTACGGAACGACGGCATTATGCTTGTGCTTGTAAGAGCGGCTTCTTGTGCCATCGGTCATGTCATCATGGCAAAGGTAATGTTAAATGCACCTACACGGACTCTTGCGTTGATCTTGCAAAAATGTGCTCGTACTGATCACGAATGTCATCGTCAGATCGAGTCGAATATGTGGTGGAACAATTTCTTGACCATCTTGACGAGGATCCTACCGTTTTTGTTTTGCAGCTTCATGGGTACGCCAATACCACATCAAGCGTCACTTGCGCAATGACCTTGCAAAGGATGTGTAACCTCTTGCAATGGCTGTGCTGTGTCGATGGACCACACTGAACTACTCTGGACGACCTTTTGCGTTGCCGACGCATCAACTGAGTCACGCAGTCAGCCAACCGCAATTGTCATATCGAAATCCGTTCTGAAGTACATCGATTGACGCGTTGTAAGGTGCTCAGAACGTCTCGAATGCGTAATACCTGTGCAGTGATTGTCACCAGTGCAGTGTCTGTGCCGTACCTGATCATCCGTCGCGTGCTTTATCTTTCTGACGGGTCGTCGTGGGCCAATTAGTGGCGGATGCTGACAATAGACGTGCAAGGACATTGCACCCGACGTGTCTGATCTCGACGTTTCGCTTGCAATGACATGCGATACGTGCTGCTGGGCAAGCGTGATCAGCATGTAGCACGACTCGAGAGCTTCAAGTGTCCTCCATGCGTCAAAAAAAAGCTGAAAAATGCGTGTGCAATGCCTGTTCAACACAGGCCAGTAGCTCAATGCCGTACCGCGCGTATCCAAATCAAAGCGCAAAGCCGCAAACAACCTGACCTTCGACTAGAAAGAGACACCCCTAGCAACAGCACCGTTGCGTTCAGCTCCCACGCCATATCGCAGCTTAGAACTAGCGACCAGGCACACACTTGTCGTGCCTCGTTGGTAGCAACAGACCACAAAATGACTGGCACTGAGACGTGACTCCACAATGTGAACGTAACCAGCACGGAGCTGTGTCTATTGCTCGCGAGTTCGTCAACTGCAGTAGAAATCGCCATACGATTGAGACGGAGCGGAACACTCATGATACACATTCGAAGTGCACATCATGCATCCGCGCTCTTCTCATACGACCGACTTCGGAATCAAAAGAGGCTCTCGGCTATCAGCCGATACGGTCCCGTAGCTTGTGCCCCACTTCTCGAGGTCACCAGGAGGCGACGATATCGGGTTCGAGCGCGGCGTCATCGACTGACGCATCGTGAGCTCATAGTCCGGATACTCTTCCATTTGCAGTACTGGCACGCGCCACTTGGCCAGGATGTCTGGTGTCCACACAAATACAAAGACACCGACGCAGAAGGCACAGATGACGTGGCCACAAAAAGCTGCAGGCACCGTACAGAGCGGCGCAGTTCGTGCATCGGGGATGATCTTTGTCCACAGCACGTAGACATTGTAGATTGGCAGCAGCACACGAGCTACGAACCAGCAGACGTACGTCACGTAGAAGAAGAACGCGTGGAGCTTGCTTTTGCCAAACCCTAGCTGCTCCATGAAGGTGGTGATGTTGAGCGGAATGACAGCAAACTCAACAAAGAGGAAGAGTTGCAGCAGGTACAGGTCCATCCCGCAGCCTGCGTGCATTGTGTAGATCAGGTACGGTAGCCTGTTCACAGACAAACATAGAGAGACAGCAAGAAGTGCCATCAGCATCTGCGTACTCCAAGCAGCAAAGGCCATTTGTACAGGACGTACACGGCTACAACGTGATGAATGACAAAGACCCGCCAAAGCGGCACTTGCCACAGCACCAGCACAAACAAGTCGAAGAGGAAGTAGCCACAGGCTGCAGTACCGTCCACACGACGCGTTAGCGACTACAGCAACAAGCAGAGCGTGGCAGCTGCCTTCGAAACGACGTACAGAAGGAAAAGAGCGTCGAAGCCAAGTACATGGGCATCGCCTTTGTAGGCAGCAAGTCGTCGTCCCAGCTCTGTTCACTGAAGCTGTACGCCATTCCCGTCGTGATCATCAGCGCGTGGATCGTCGAGTTTACTCTGCAATAGACCACATACACAAACAAATAGACAGCGGAGACAGACAGACAGACAGACAGACAGACAGACAGACAGACAGACAGACAGACAGACAGACAGACAGACAGACAGACAGACAGGTAGAGACGGACGTCTGTTAGACATGATATGTTGCGCGCTTGGCGGCTGCTTTCACTTCGTTTTTGTATGCCAATCGAAAACCGCACAGAGCACGTGAGCCAAACGTACCGAGAGCACCAGTCGCCCTGTTCTGGGACGGAAAAGTCGCGATAGACTTTGACAAAGCGGTCCGACAGGCGGTTGGCGGCGTAGAAGAGGAGCGCGAAGAAACACGTGGAGCTCAGCAGGACGCGCACGCTCTGGAGCGAGTCCGCCATAGCTCAAGCGGTGCGCGAGGACTCACTCACTGTGGGGACGTGTTGGACGCCGTTTTGGCCAATCGCGGGCTCGCAGGGCGTGTGGGCAAATGGGTTCGCTTGGGCTCAGGTGACGTCGGTTGGTGTGGCGCGTTCGATAAAACCTCCGGCGGAGAGTATTCGACTCGAGAGAGGTCGTTTGTTATGTTACTCGTGAGACAGACGGACGGACGGTCGTTCGAGCACAGAAGATGTGGTTAAGTACGATCGCAAGCGTGGTGTGAGTCACCGAATCGAATGGAGATGAATACGGGACAGAAAATAGATTGATCGTGCTGCGTGCGCTATGGTACGAGTCTGGTGGATGAAGTTTTATGTTTGTCCACGACGAGGTTCTTACTTGACGGATTGTTACGTGGTCTTTCGCAATACAAGCTAACTCAGATTACGGCAGATCGATAGATAGACAGGTCGATGGATAGATAGATAGATAGATAGATAGATAGATAGATAGATAGATAGATAGATAGATAGATAGATAGATAGATAGATAGATAGATAGATAGATAGATAGATAGATAGATAGATAGATAGATAGATAGATAGATAGATAGATAGATAGATAGATAGATAGATAGATAGATAGATAGATAGATAGATAGATAGATAGAGTAGATAGATAGATAGATAGATAGATAGATAGATAGATAGATAGATAGATAGATAGATAGATAGATAGATAGATAGATAGATAGATAGATAGATAGATAGATAGATAGATAGATAGATAGATAGATAGATAGATAGATAGATAGATAGATAGATAGATAGATAGATAGATAGATAGATAGATAGATAGATAGATACATGGACGAATCGATACATGGACGAATCGATACATGGACGGATCGATAGATTAGCTCTCTTTCTGACTGAGTCCTCTGTTATTGCTCGTCTCTTGGACTCTTCTTCTGCGCAAGAAAACATGTCGCCGATGATTGTCGCGTGATCTGCTGCACGGCCTGGTCGCCTTTCTGGCGCTCGACAAGCTGTAATAACCGAACGCTATTCATCACACAGCATTCGCTGCCCATGTCTTCTTGTGGCTTGACTCTCCTCGTAATGACTGCCCATGCAGACAGAACCTGCTCATTTTCCTCGTCACTAACTTGCGCTGCGTTGAAATGCCTGCGACAGCTCTTGCTGCTTCCGTTCCGTCACATGAGACACCGCAACATTCAGGCCATCGTCAATCCTCAGCGACAGCGCCATTCGGTACGTATAATCGAACGGGTCTCGCAGTGTTTTGAAGTCGTAGCGACTGAGTAGAGCAGCAAGTGTAATCTTGATCTCAGACATCGCAAACTTCATGCCCAAACACGCGTGCGGTCCCCCGTAGAACGCAGTGAACTTAAACGGAGACACCGCACTCACTCTTTCTGAATGAGGGTCAATCCACCGCTCGGGTTTGAACTCGTCTGCATCTGAGCCCCATACAGATCTCATTCGGCCCATCGCATAGTGCGGCATATGCACCGACGTGCCTTTGACGAGAAAGAGTCCATTCGACAGTGTCACATCCCGCGTTGCCGTGCGACCGCTAATAGGTGCCACAGGGTACAGACGAAGAGTTTCCCTGATTGTCGCATCCAAGTACACTAGATGGTGAGTCTCGTGAAGGCTCGGTACGCGCTGTTTACCGTTCGCAAGATCTGGCAGTTTAGCTCGCACTTCTTCGCGCACGCGTTCGAGTACCTTCGGGTACCGATTCATCATCACGACAAACCAGGACATTGCGGTCGCGGTGGTATCTTGTCCCGCTGCTAAGAAGCTCACGATGAAATCGCGCAGCTTCGTGAGTACAACCTCGTTATCCTTTCCATTGTCAGCGGCTTCTTGCTCCAGGTGTAGCGAGATAAGATCCATACGGGGATCCGAGTCATCTTGACGATCAACATCACTGCTGGCTTTTTCTTCCATTGAACGTGCGATGAATTTGTAAAGCATGTCATTCACGCGCTTCATATCGCTCGCGAACTGCTTCTCAGCGCCAATGTTCAGGCAACGTCGTAGCTTCCAGCACCAGCTTGGCTCCAGGATACGTCCGACAATCCGAGCTGATGATCTCTGTAGCGCCTCCAACATCGCAATAATCGGCTCCCTTTCCATTCCTTGCATCTCGATTCCAAAACCAACTTTGCAAAACACGTCCATCGTAAACAAGTCCAGCATCCACTTCAAACCCACCACACCATTCGTCGAGTTCTCTTGTTCACTAGCAAGATCCAGACACCTCATCAGCTCTTTACATTTAGCCGACACCACCACGTCCATGTTGTGCTGGACCATTTGCGTTGAGAACAAGCGACTTGCGACTTTGCGCTGGTGAAACCACAATGGGCCACTGATTGCAAACACCCCTTGCCCAAGCACGTCAGTCGCGGCCTCGACAAAGAGAGGGTTCTTGCCAAAAGCTTCGTATTGCGTCTTCTGGACATCCTCGAAGTCTCCAGGTGTGCACACAAATACAGTTGGCGCCTTGCCAAGAACATGCATGCACCAAGGTCTTCCTTGATGCTCACGACAATTGTCGAAGACCCAATCATGAAAGCGTCCAGAAAGCTGCACGCGAGCTACAAGCAAAGTGTTCCCTAGCACAGGCAAGTATCCTGATGGTCTAGGTAACCGCAGCACCGCTCGATTTTGCGGCGAAGGCATCGCCAAATATCCGAAGATGAGAGCCAAGCACACGATGGCGCTCACTACAGTCCAGTAATATTGGTCGCCACCATACCAAGCGTTCGTTGCCATTTCTCGCGTGCGAGCTGAAGCCCGAATCAGAAAGTCCGGCTGCTAACTCGCTGGTTTCGATTGAGAACAGATCCTGCAGTTGGATCAACGAGGCCGTTGGATCGAACGAAACCGCTCATGACCGGGTCCCAGCTATCATAGGTATGATAACAGACACATCGACACTTCCATCGAGAACGTCACGAAGAACGTTACGGAGAACGTCACGGAGAACGTCACAGAGAACGCCTACTTGGCCTTGAACCAGGAATCATCGACCTTGGCATCCACTTGAAGGTCTACAGACAGAGGCTTTTCGAAAGGGTTCTCCATCAAATGCACAACAATTTTCATCGCTTCATCTACGGACTCCTCAGGTCCCTCTACGATGATCTCATCGTGGATTTGAGACACCATCTTCCAACCAAGCTCGCGTAGCCTCGAGTTCTGATGCACAAGAAGCATTGCCTGCATCACGACGTCGGCTGCCGCACCCTGGATCGGAGTGTTGATGGCAGCACGCTCTGCATGACCTCGAGACTTTTTCGATGCTATGCTGTCGTCAGTCAGCATTGCGTCGGGAAGCCGACGATACCGCCCAAGCAGGGTGCGGGTGTAGCCGTATGTTCGAGCGGTGTGGATTGCGTGCTTCTGCCAATCGCGCACCTCCGCTCGGTCCGCGTACCATTTTTCCAACGTCTCCGCGGCCTCTTTGCGAGAAACGTTGAAATCTTTTGACAGACCGAAGGCAGTCTTGCCGTAAGCTATCGAAAAATTGAGCACCTTGGCATTCTGACGCTCGTTGCCAAACTTGTCCTTTAGCAATGGCGCAGGCGGCTCCTTGCCACCAGAATAATCCCATTCCAAAAGCGCCTCACCCTTTTCTATAGCCTCCGCCACGTATGGATACATTCCCATTGCTGTGCGTGAGTGGAAGTCGCCTCCAGCCTTAAACGCCATAATCATAGCTTCGCATTGAGTGATGTGAGCCATAAGCCGCAGCTCTAGCTGCGAATAATCGGCCACGATAAGTTTCTTGCCTGGCGGAGCCGTGAATGCATCGCGGATCTTGTAGCGATCCTTAGCAATCGCAGGTTGGTTTTGCAAATTCGGTTTTCGTGATGATAAGCGCCCTGTGTCCGTGTTGAGATTCAACGAGCAGTGCACGCGGCTGTTGCTATCGGCGAGCTGCTGAAGCGGTAGGATGAAGTTGTTGAGCATGGTGTTGATACTGCTGATGTCATAAAGCGCCTTCAGTGCCACACAAGCCGCTGCGCCTTCTTCCTTGTCCTCAAAATGGTCATATGCCCGACCAAATGTCGGAGGATCGGCATTCGGCTGTGCACACGAGGCAACGTTACACAAACAAAGATGAGAACCAAAAATGTACACGTCACTTCCTTAGCAGCACGTACATGGCCTGCGAGTTCCTTCAACACTTCAGCACTGGCTGCGGGGAGTCCACTTGCTGTAAAATGCGTCGGCGGAATACCAAGTCCACGAATAGTGATATTGCGCTTTTTCTTTGCTTTCTGCTTCCCCTCTTCAATGTGACCTTCCGTGTTCTCCACTTCAAACTCACGCTCAGCTGCCAGCACAAGTTTCTTCTTCTTCTTGTCAAAATACGGCGCAAACAGCAACTGCTGCTTCTGTGCCGCACTAAAGATGTTCATACGTTCACTCTCGTCGCAGTATCGCGACGCCCATTTGAGCACGAGTCGTTCAAGATGCGCACGGTCTTCCAGTGCCACTTTCTCGACACGCGCGAGGTAGTCGAGATCCACGTGCATACCCGTGCGTTCAATGTCGGTCAGACACTCGCCAAATGGAATAATGTACTGGCAATAAAAGTCATACATCGACCCAACCTGCGGCCCGTGTTCTCCTTCGGCCGTCGCTGGCTCTTCAAACCAGAACGTCTGGTCCAGTTTGTCCTGCAGCACCCGGTGCAGAAACCACGTGCTCTCGGCGTCGTACACACTGTAGCGGATCCACCGCTTCCGGAACTCGGGGAACCGCTGGAGCTCCTCGACGGTCGGCATGATGCGCTCTTTCCCCTTCGTCCCGTCCTGCTTGAGCTTGGGGATGCCAAAGAGCTCCTTCATCGGCTTCTTCCGCTGCAGCAGCAAGTCCTCTGTCAGCGCCTCGAGCGAGTAGCCGCCGTGCCGGAACCGCGCCGTGTTCCAGAGCCGCGCCATGTGCATCGTGTCTCCGCCCAGGCCGTGGACGTCAATGCCGTGGTTAAACAGCACGTGGCGGTCAAAGCTGTAGTTGTGCCAGACCTTTTGGTACCTTTTGCTCTCCAAGAAGGCCTTAAAGTACTGCAACGTGCCGTCGGCGCTGTCGAGATTGTCGACCCAGACGTACGGCCCGTTGCCGTAGTCCACGTCGGGGCCGCTGTAGAGCGAGAGGCACGTGACGCGGCCGTTGCCCACGGGGCCCACGGCCTTGACGTCGATCTGCGCGACTTCCGTGTCGCACGCGTGGAAGTGGTGCGGCCCCAGCGACGCAATGATCGCCAGCACGCGACGCGCACTTTCGTGGTCCTGCACGAGGTTCACGGGCCGCGCGTCGTCGTCTGCGGCCGTCAGGCCCCGCAGCAGGCGGCGGTCGATCGCGTCGGACGTGACGAACGCCAGCGGCTGTTGACGGCAGCGACGACGCGGGGCGCACGTCGTCGATAGGCGGCGCGACGTCAGCAGCGCGCGCAACTGCATCTTGTTGCGAAATGGCTGGACGAGTGCGGTGGCGGAGATGTTGCAGCAGAGTGATGGTCGGTGGAGCAGAGCCAGGCGATGCGGTCGGGCGAACGGAAGACGTGACAGACGTCAGAGTGGCGACGGACGCGGCGGTGGAGGGAATTAATTGTCTGCAATATATATATATTGGATGAAAGCGACGGCACAGGCGGGCAGGCGCTAGTGCTTTTTTCTTTCGGACGTCGAGGAAATCAGGATAGCGTCGCGGGCGTAGACTGCTTCGAAAGCGACTTTTACTTGCAAACACTTTAAGGCATTGGAGGGGACGGTGAAGTCTATTGAACCGCTATGGAAGCAATTACCACATAAATCGTGCAGTCGAGCCATCGACCCAGTCATATGGGCAGTACAGAAACACGTACAGCGTCAGCGCATTGACCATCATGTACGCGACAATAGCTGTCCACAAATGGGACGCAGCTTGCTACAATGACAGCACATACATACACTTTTTGCGTGAGAAAAAAACAAACAATCGACACGAGTGTGAACAAGTAAACGTGTCGCGTACGTTGCCAGTGTTCAAGTGGAAGATCAGGAAGGGGACGCAAAAGTACCGCGGCCTGATGCAGCACATGTGAGGCACAAATCGAATTTGTACGGCACAGTCAGCAGAACGTACTCGACAAGCGGCGATGGAACGAGGACCAAACACGTCGCGAGCACAAAGACGAGCGTCCACAGTGGCGAGCGTCGCCGCTCTGTCAGTCACAAAACAGGGTGTCGGAAGTTACCATTCCATGCCAGCACATAACAAGCAGCCAAAGAATGAAGCCGTACCTAGCTCCTTCCGGCAGCGCCATCCCAAATAGACGTACAACGGTGCAGGTACAAACTTGGCCATGTCGTGCTTGAGAAAGAACTTCCGCCAGATGTAGAAAGTATAGTGCCTATTGTCTGCCAGCATGAACTTGTGCACGGGGCTGAAGCAGAAAATGATTCCGACAGTCGCTGCAATCAGGAAGCTAATGAACAGGAACCCTCGCACAGAGCTGCCGTTTCTGCGTACTGATGCAGCAAACGCTCGCACGTAAGTGGGTGCAACGAGACTGAGTCCGAAACCAGAGGCTGCGACGATAAGGAAGTACAGCACTTGGGCGCCGTGGAATGTCACTTCGTGACTAGATTTGTCTCCTACAACATGGCAAACAGCTGCTTCGTTAGCATCCCTGTAGCAGTCAATGAGCGAATGGTCACGCTTACCTACAACAATGCCGCCGTTCATCAACAGAAAGACGACAAAACCCGCCACGATTACGACGAATGGCCAGACAATAAGAAGAATGGACGGGAGATTCGATACAACGACGCGAATGAAGTTCATAACGATCTTCGGAAAGCTTCGTTCGTCCCATCACACAAGAAGACAAGGTGCGTACGATTAGTACGCGCATCGGACAGTGTTCGGTCGATCTCGTAGCCTACCTGTGTGTAGCAGTTAAGTGAGTACCGGCACTTGACTCTGTCTTCGATAACCTGACATAGCATCAACAACTCAGCATCGCACAAGCACACTCTATACAGCAGCATGACACAAGTGCCTCACCCGTAGATAAACGTTGAGTGAGCAAGCTCTGCATATCGAACGACGACCGTGCCAGCCACAAACCCAACCCAAACAATATTCGTCTGGCGGAAGAGGACTGCGACTGCACCACTCTGTATCCATCCGACATCACAAGCCCACGGGTCAAATACACCTGGTAATGCAGCAGCACAAGCACTCACACGATTGCTTACTGTAGCACTGAGCACGAAAAAGCTGCCTCCTCCCGATGGGTTCTGCGCCAAGTCCACTCTCTCCGCGAGCCACGCCGTCAAGAGCACAAAAAACGTGGCCCCACTGTCTGTGTAGAAGAGGAACGAAAAGAAAAACAGCGGCGGGAAAGCTGCAACACGCACGGCGTGCAGGAGACCATTGTGGTCGTGCGGAGATACGTGACGCCTCAGCAGCACGCACAGCACCACGTTGCCCAGTGCAAACACCACGTTCAGACTACGCAGCATCGACACGGAGCAGTAGAAGGCGCCTCCGTTCATCCAGGAAAGCGCTCTTGTGCACAGCGTCGAGACCAAGTACAGACCTGGGAACGTCGTGAGCTTCGGGTCCCACTCGTCTAGAGAGCAGCGTGACGGTCAGTGCTGAAAGACTCGGAATGATTGCAATGTGGCCGGCACTTGTACGTGTACGCACGAAAGCGGTCTTGGCAGTAGTGCTGAGCTTGAGGGATGTGGAAGATCTCGTCCTGTTGGCATATAGACATATTGACATATCTCATTCGTGAGTGACGTGGGGGTACTGGGTGCAATGTCGAGTCGAGAAAAGCGAGAGACGGACCATGTAGGGATCGGGAACGATCTGGTTCACTGTTGCGAGCAGCCATGAGTATAGCACCGCTAGGACTGCGAGCACGGGCACGACAGAGGAGAGCGCACAAGGCGTGGACGGCACCGCCATGCAGAGGAGTGACAAGTACTGAAGTGTGTGTTTGTGTGTGGGTAACTTAGTTGAGACAAAGTCGGATGTGGGTACTGTCAAAATTGATTCGCCACAAAGCTAACGGTCGTCGTAGGCTCATGGTGACACCTAAGGTTCGATCAATGCAGCTTTGCGTTTTTGACAGAAAACAAAAAGTATGGTTTGCCAAATATCTAGCTAGACTCGTGATAATTGGACCCAGATGGCGGGGAGGTCAGGGGCCGCGGAAACTGACCTGGTTTTAAGGACGACTGCTGTGGATACCTGGTTTTAAGGACGACTGCTGTGGATCAATGCAGCTTTGCGTTTTTGACAGAAAACAAAAAGTATGGTTTGCCAAATATCTAGCTAGACTCGTGATAATTGGACCCAGATGGCGGGGAGGTCAGGGGCCGCGGAAACTGACCTGGTTTTAAGGACGACTGCTGTGGATAGCAGCAGTGAGCAACGATTTATCCTCCTGCTGTCACATCAGACGATGCTCTGAGAAAGACTTTTGCAGTCGATGAGAAGTGTCATTTCCGTTACGGTCACTCGTTCTCAGCGCAATGTCGCGAGACGAAACCGCGTGCGTAGTTCAGCTGACACGTTATACTCCATTCGTGACCGAAAACACACTGACGCCTTCTTCTCTTTTTCTTCTGTTTCTCCAGTACTGCAACACGTGACTTACTCGACCGCTGTCACGTATGGAACGCAACAATAACGGAACGAAAGCATCTCATGTCCCGCCACGTCCGGCACAAAACCCTTTTCGCAAAAGTCGTCACGCAGGTTTGTTTACGCCGGGCAGAAATAACCCATTGTCACTACAAATAACCTCACGACCTGCTCTCTGAACCCGACGTCTGGATCGAAGGTCTCTCATACGGTAAATGGCGGGCCGTCCAGTCGTCACCGACGCGTTGGCGTCCTCGAGCGCGGCGTCCACTGCGACCTCTTCGTCCAGCAGCGGCTTCTCATCTGCGCCCATCAATCCCGTGGTCGTGAGCAGCCACAACCACCGCCGGCGCGTACAGAGCAGCAGCTGGTTCCCTAGCGACGTGCCGACTCAGAAACCCGCTACGGCCGACGACGTGTCGAATCAGAAGAACGCCACGACGGACAACGTGTTGACTCAGACCAGCGGCACAGACCAGCGGCGGACTCAGACCCACGTCGTCACACGTGACACGCAACGGCCAATCGATGCGGCGCGTGAGTCGCGGACTCAGACCCACGTCGTCTCAGGCGACGCGCCGACTCAGACGACCGGTACCACTGGCGACTACGCATTGAACAGCTATACCCCTTTACGTACAACTGCAACTACTGCAACTACTACCAGGACGAAGGACCGGCCGTTTCGAGCGGCGTCGCTCGGCAGCGCCTCGTGCTCTTCGGGCACCGCCAACAACGACGAGGGCGTGAGCGGCGACGACAACGACAACAACAACAACGACGACCACACGAGACCGCGACCGAGTCAGGCGCTGCCTTCGCTGTCGTTGGGCAGTGCGGCGCTATTGCAGCTGAGACACCACCGACACGGCAGGGAGTTCATTGCCTCGTCGTCCCCATTCAGTCGGGCTCCGAGACACACGAGAACGTCTACGCCGGCCACGAACGCAACGGGACAAGCTCAGGGACAAGGCACAAGCGGTATCGCTGGAACGAGGTCGAGGTCGCATCCGTGCCAAGAGGAAGGCAGCGCTTTGGTCGCTCCGGATGCAGACGGCATCGAGCACGACCGTGACAGGGCGCACAAAGACGTGGAGGAGAAAGACTTGTCGGCGCCATCGTTGCCCACGGACAAGCAGCAGGTCCGCATCTTGTTCCATGGACGAGCGATTCTGGCTCAAGACTTGATTGGCCTTCGTGTGGCCAAGACGTTTGCCGGCGCCGGACGCTTTCTGGGGCAAGTGGTCAAGTTTGACAAGCGCACGGCGTTGTATACAGTGGTGTACGATGACGGGGACGCAGAGGACCTGACGGTCGACCAGACGCTGCAGATCTTGACTCAAGACGAGATCGAGCGCGCAGATCCCGCACAGCTACCGCTGGACATCTCTCTGCTGGGTAAGAAGAGCGACGAGGCAGTGTCGCCGGCCAGCCCGGACTTTGTGGCACCGCCTGCACCTGCTTCGCGGCAAAGCAGTGCTCCACAACGCCGCGTGGTTCTTCAGATCAGTGAGCGCGAGACGCGATTCGTGATGAGTTTGTTTGAGAACCACGCGCTTCCTGTTTTACTTCGACGTGCGTGGCGTATGCAGGCGAACGAGTCGGGAATGGGAACGTGCTTTATCTCTCCAAGCGGAGAGATGCTGCCATCGGCGCTAGACGTTGTGGGATACATCGCGAAGGATGACGAGCTACTGGCATCGTGCTTCCCAGCGAACGTGCACTCTGCTATCCTGTCGCTGCTTCCACGTGAAGCTGCAGTGAGCTCTGCACCGATTGCCGATTCTGGTAGTACTCACCGAACAAGCACCGCCGACAGCGCGTCACGAAAGCGCACAGCCGCCGAGTCGTCAAGCGCCGAGCAAGTGGATGACAAGAGGACACGACAAGTACGCGAGGAAGCTCGAGGAGGAACTGCGTTTGCCATGTGCGCAGGAACGGCCCGAAGCAGTGATACGGCACTGTCTCGGCGACATAACGATTCGGATTACCGAGTTGCCTGCCATGTCTCTGCTTACCGTGAGCAAGGCATGGGCGGACGCATTCGGACACCAGGCAGTCTGATCGTTGGGAACGGAAGCAACAGCACCAGTGAGGCTCGTACCCAAGCTTCCCCTGTGCTGCGAGGATACCGCAGGACTGCTGGCCGTGGTCCAATGCTCGAGAATCCGTTTGTGTCGAGATGGCCAGAAGCTGGAGCGGCCCACGATCGTGTCCAACCTGCCGAGTATGGCCACCGAGTTGACAACACGCTCGGGCGGCGCGAACGGGGCGACGTCTTTGCGCTGGATCACCACGTGGAAGCGCAGTCGCGTGACTACACACGTAGCGAGGAGCGCAGTCGCGTGCATCGATTGAATGCGCGAGATCCAGCGTATGGTGAAGGCACTGGAGTTGGTGGTGCTGCTGCATCGGGTCGATATGCGGGCTTCTATCGGGACTTGACGGCGTCTTCACGTGGCAGTCAAGTGGATACAAAGACGAATGGTCTTGCACGCCTGCAGCTGTCTGCTCTGCGCACAAGGTCTAGCGACTATAGTCGTGCTTCTCCTGCGGACCGAGCTCCACGTGGAACAGCCAGCTTCATTTTTCCAGCCGACACATTTGGCGGTGCTGGTGGTGGTGGTGCATCGTTCTCAATGCTGGGCATCGATCGCAACTCGAATGCGCGACAGAAGAACGCTCATGGTGGAGATCCATATGCCCGCTCGTTGCAGCAGAGTGAAGCCCAGCATTCGTATATGCAGCACCAGTCTATCCAGCATCACGATCAACAAGGCGGTGAAAGTAGCCACACATCCGCAGGCATTGCTTGTGATGGTGCAAACAACTAAGCGCTTTGGTTCCGAGGAACACGGCCAACGCTTTTGATCAATTGATCTGGTGTCGATGGGATGTCGACAAATGCACCAGAGATGTCGAACAAGTGCTGTGCGTTGTGGTCATGTCCTGCGAATCGACGTTTGGTCCGTGTTGCCACTACTTTGCACGGAATTGAACGCCGTTGAACGTGTCGCTGTGGCATCACATATCTGCTGGCGATGGACAGCGACCGTCTCGATTGTCGATCTTCCACTTGCACAGCACAACCTCAAGCTCCGTACTTGACGAGCTGGTCACGTCGTGACGAGCAACAGAACTGCCGGTCTATTGCATCGCATTTTGCAGTCAAAGAGGAGCGTCGGTGTGGGCCAACAGATGATTTTGCAGTCAACCAGCACCTGCCACGTTTTGCATTGGCGCTGTAATTTGACTACAATTGCTGCTGTTGTCATGTGATGGTGGAGCTCTGGAGGTTGAAAAAGTGTTGTTGCAAGCGATTGTTGACACTGGCGCGTGTTCAAGCAGGAGCTCGAGACTGATAATGTGGCCCAAGCACGCAAACTGCTCGCCTCATGTGACGCTTGGTGGGCTTTCACATCCTACGAACGTTGCGGCATTTAGCAACCAGCGCAAAGATGTTCCGCGATGCTTGGGGTGGTGACGGACGGTCGCCGACAGTAACAATAACTCTCGACACCAAGAGACGAGGACTGTTTGTTACGCATGTGGCCGCTTGGTATGGACGCTGTACTGGAAAGCGACAAATGCTGTGGCAGACTGCATCAATTAACTTGCTTTATTTCCTTACAGACTGCTCGGATAGGCCGATAGAATGTATGCAATGTCTGGTGGATGAATCCGCTTGCAGTCACTACACCGTCTGATGATCGACGAGTCAAGTGCGTGGTCATCGTTCCACCCCGTGACTTGGATTCAATTGCCGGTCGCATGTTCGTCACTAGTGGCCGAGACTTGTGGGCTTGTCCATCTTGTGGCCACGCAGCTAGAAACAAAACGATGTCAAGGCGTCTCGATCGAGTGTCTACCCCAAGTTTTGCCTTCAAGCTGTCGTCCAGCAGATGCCGATGAACATTTTGCCTGTTCCTTGCATGGTATCGAGGTAATGGTCAGTCAAGCGTGCAGTTGCGCTGTTGTGGCTGTGCTTTACTCCCCGACATTTCCACCGTGATCAGTCGGAGTATCCATGTTGCAACTTCTACCCAATGCACTGCTGAGAAGGACGCGATGAAAAAGGAATCTCCAGACGAGCATCACGCGTTCCATACGACGGGAACCACAGCACACGCGCGTGACCGAAATGGACAAAAGCAAATGTTGGCAACGCAACCAGACGGCGATACTGAAGACAGCTAGTTGGTTCTCATTGTGACGTCAGCTTGCCATTGCTCGATGTCACGACATCGAGCAAGGCTTGTACCGATCTCTTGCAGACACGCGATCCGCCATTTGTGCTCAACAAGAATGACGAACGCTCCACTACGATCGGCAGTTTACGTCCGTCTAGGAAGCAATGCGCTCGAGACGCAGACACCAGTTCGATCGACTGTACTCGGTCGATATCAGCCGAAGACCCGGCACCTGTTCGACCAGCGCTTCGAGCTCACCACTACGATACAAATGGCAGTATCGCTTGTACACCACCCAGCGCTTCTCGTGATCAATCTGCCCATGCGATGCAGTTGCACCACTGTCTTCCTCGTCCTTTGCATACTTCTGCTGCAGCTTCCACTCCACCATGACGTCCTGTTGGTCAAAGCGGCGCTTCGAGTTCTCGTCCTGCTCAAATGCCCACGCGACAATCAGTACGTGGCCGCCGACTCGCACGATGCGGGCCAGTTCACTAGAAACAACACAAAAGCACTCCCGTGTAAGTCGAGACGCCTTCCACTCGTTCTTCCAACTGCATCGCGTTGCTGCGACTACCTGATCAGAGCCACGCGACGCGCTCGTGTGGATATGTGGTGCAGCACAGCAATGGAAATTGCTGCATCAAAGACTCTGGTCCGAAACGGTACTTGCAGCGCGTCACTCGCCACCAAATTGCTGCATGACAGTCCACCCACAGTCTCGAGATCAGTACAGCACTGCAAAGAGCTATTGTTGCAGTTTTGTATACAACTACTACTGCCAACCTGTCGCTCGTAGCTCCGACTCGCATCAATGGGATACTGCGGTCGGCGCCAATGACACACAGCGAGGGGTTCACGTGCAGGTACTTGCCGTTCCCACAGCCGACATCCGCCACGAGGGCACGCGGGTCCAACTTCGCCAGGAACGCAGTCACTTGAGGCCACGGGTGGTGTCGCGTGTGGCTAAAGTGCGGGGCAATGAGGTCGTACACTTTGTGCACGTGCTCCCGCTCGAGGGCCGTCGCAGTTAACAACGACGACGTCGCGCATGGCGTCACGTCGGCCATGGATTTGGAAATGGCTTCACTTGGTCCGATCAGGTCCTTTCTTTGCTCCTCGAGACAACGTGACGACACGAAACTGGCTCTATTGCGTGGGTGTTTGCTCTTCGCTTGACGACTGCACGAACGAGCGACTGCACCTTATGGGGACACCACCACGTCGGCTCGAAGCGGACGGCCTAACGTCCGATGATAGATGGAAACTTGACCACTATATCGGTGCTGTGATAGCTCCGCCACGTGTATGACAGCGATTTCCCTTGTTGATGGTATGTGCTGCGAAAGCGTACAACAGCGTCAGAGGTCAGTGGTCGTGTCAATGCAAGAAGCGGTCAACCCAATGTTTGTCTCCTACAATGATGTGAGCAGTTCTGTAAGAGTTGCGCCGCTCTTTGATCCTCTTCTCGATAGCTCTGCTCGCTTCTCGGGAAGACGTCGAGAGCAGACTCGGCAACGTACGACATGCCGCACCACGTCCGCTTCTACGAACTCGTATCTTGTCACAGCACAAACGATTTCTTTCGAGTGATTCGCATCAGTACAATTCTGCTGATAAGCAGTGTACCGTCACTACTGCTTCGATATGGAGCATCCTCCTGCGACGCACCGACAATGCTGCGAGATCGATCGAGATCGTTGCGATCTCAGTCCGTCTTGGCTGAGCTGATCGCCATCGCCGACTTCATCTCACGTCATGTCGTCAGATTTGTATTGTTTGTCGAGACTGGAAGAGGCAGTGTGACCATACCCGTCTTCGAGCACATTTGACCGATACACTCAATGCCTATCGTTTGTGTGCACGCTCAGTCTGTAATTTGGCTGAGCAGAGAAGCGAAGTGGTGTGCAAACACTTGTGCACTCGACATGAGGTCCGCGTATAGCGGTTCTTCATATTACATCGCGCTCGCGTATCAATTCGTATGGACAAACTGTCACGTTTCGTATGCAATCGTGTCGATTCTCGACAAGTGCTGCCTATCAATTGCCTATGCGTAGAGACTCTACAACTACTTAGGCCTCCGCAAAGTCAATGGGTCACGTCGATCGCCAATACGGCAAAAGTTGTCGTTATCTGTGATCGATGTCGTTGTTGCTGTGCAAAGAACGTCCGCGCACGAGTTTCCTGCATCGAGTCGAAGACGCACGAGCTCAACAACAGGTCCTTCACGTCGCTTTTCGGCTGTTACTATTTCCGTCCTCAAGCAGAGACGAACCACAGACTGACTTCTACGACGGTTGCAGCACGGTCGGCCCTACCCCTGGTTTCCGCTGCCTCCAAGACGCCCCTGTCCCATCCCGCGAGTGTTCACCACGCGGTCCATGTCACTCTTTCGTCCATCACCGTGACCTCATCTCTTCCACACGTTTCTTTTCTATACATAGAGCGCCCCTACCCCTGGTAGTCAGACCGCCCGACTCCGCGCGGCTTCGACCACTTGACACCGGAGCGACAGTTTCGCGTCCCCCCGTGACGTCAAGCAAGCAGACGACGCTCTTCTTCGCCGTCCCCGCAGTCACGTCGCCGTCCCCGCCGCCGCAGCAGTCACCCCCGCAGTCGCACTCTCACGACCAGCAGCACGATCAGCAGCAGCAGCACCCGTCGCCGCTGCAGCGCGTTTCCCTCCGTGCCGGTGCTCCAGTCGCCCCGCGCCATCATGTCGGACGAGCGCGCGCGCGCGCCCGCGTCCACCCCTAGCCGCCCGCGCCCGCCCCAACCCCAGCCCCACCATCACGGCAACCCGCCCCCGCAACGCGCGTTCCCCTACCCGCAGCCCTACCCCGCGGCCTCGACGCCGTCGTCGTCCAGTGCAGCCGACAGGGGACCACCGCCGCCGCTGCACGAGCCCGACGAGCCGCACTTTGACCGCCGCGTCGTGGGCCTCACGACGCTGCACACGTGCGTGCAGTCCACGACGCGGTGGTTCCAGCTCGTGATGTTCGCGGCCTTTGTCACGGCGCTCGTGCTGGCCATGGGCAGCACGTACGACAACCTCAGCCCCGGGCTCATCTGGGGCGGCGTGCTCTCGATCTTCTCCGTCTTCTTCGTCATCCTCTCGTACGCGAGCGTGCCGAGCTACCGGCAGCACCCGAACCCGCTCGTGTTCTGGCGCACGATCGCTGACGCTGTGTTTGTGCTGCAGCTCCTGGCGCAGCAGTTTGTCCGCTGCCTCTTCTTCGACTGCGTGCCGCTCTGCAGCAGCACCAACTTGCAGTGCGGGTGCAGCACTGCCCGCAGCGCGAGCTCTACGTGCGACCTCTTTGCTGGGCTCTTTGAGTTTACGCTCCTGGCGTCCGAGTGCTGGTTCTTCTGCATGACGGCCAACTTGCTCTTGAGCCTCACGAACCCCTTCACGGACTTTAAGCGCAACACGCGCATGTTCCACCTCGGCTCGTGGCTCGTGCCGCTTGTGCTCGGGCTCTTGCTCATGAAGACGGACGACTGGTCGGGCTACTCGGACCTCGGCGTGTGCTGGACGAACGCGCTCAAGAACTTGGAGGCCGACAACATGACGGACTGCGCCGCGGGGTACACGGTCACGGACAACTTCTCCGAGAGCTACACGGCCGTGAACGCCAACATCATTAGCTGGCTCTTCTTCTACATCTGGATGGGGCTCTTCATCATCTCGGGCATTGCCGTCTGGATCTGGGCGTGGAAGCGCCTGAGCGAAGGCATGCCCGAGACGTACGCCGTGCGCGTGCAGAGCATCAATCGCGCCCGCTTCAACGTCTTTGCCGTGACGTTTTACTGGATCATTGTCGTCATTGTGTACATTAAGTTTCTGTCGCGGGACCGGTCGCAGCCGGACAAATCGAGCGAGCTCTTGAACTTCCTGATTGCCGGGAAAGGGTACCTCGACCTCGTGATTTGGTTTGCGCTGAACGACTTCCACGTCGCGCACTTTACGCACTGTCTGGGCGAGAACACGGGCGAGATCGACGTGGACCTGAACCCGCAGGTGAACGCGGCGTTGCGACGGGAAGTGCTCTTTTACACCACGTCGGGGATCATCCAGGCGGTGCAGGCGGCTGAACGTCTCCCGGCGTCGCAGCGCATCCAGCACTTGGCGTTGTTGCCGCAGACCAAATCTGCGAGTGCGACAGGAGGGGCGGCATTTACGGCGGTTCCGGTCAGCGATAGTGGGAATGCGGCGCACCCGTCAGCAGCTTATGCAGCGTATCGTCAGCAACCGTCACTCGGTACTGAGCGCGATGGAACGAACGGCATTGCTGCTGCTTTTGACGAGAACATGCGCGTGGCCAAGAACTCACCTCGTACCAAGACGTTTCACGACTACGAACCCCATGCGTTCAAGAAGATTCGTGAACGCTTTGGCGTCAACAACGATTCGTACTTGCAAGCACTGTCGGCCACGGCAAAAGAGCGCCTGAGTGAAGGTGCCAGTGGAGCGTTTATGTTTTACTCGGCCGACGGGACGCTCATTGTGAAGAGCACAAGCAAGGAAGAGTGCTCGTTCCTTCGCAACATTGCACAGGACTATGCCGCGTATCTGTGCGCCAACCCTCGCTCCCTGCTACTGCGGTTCTACGGCTGCCATTGTCTCGAGTTGTACAGCAAACAGTTCTCGTTCGTCGTGATGGCGAATCTTTTCGATACCGACCAAGTGATCCACTCACGTTACGACATCAAGGGCTCATGGGTGAACCGACACGGCGACCTTCCGAAGCGTGGCAAAAAGGTGACATGCCGCCACTGCAACCGCAAGTACCTGTACCAAAACTCAGCGCCGGAAAATGCCAATTGCACGGTCCGTCTAGGCGGGCACGAGCCCAATGTTGTGCTGAAAGACTCGGATCTTACACAGAAACTAAACCTTGACCGTGACGTGGCGCTGGAGTTGTATCAGCAGCTCTGTGCAGACTCGCAGCTGCTGTGCTCGTTCGGCATTATGGACTATTCTCTGCTGATGGGCATCAACGAAGTTGAGTATGTGGTGGACGAGGGCGAGAACTCGGGCGAGGAAAGTGATGTTGCCAACACGACGCTTCAGTCCAGTATGCTTGGCACGATGCCTGGAAGTAGCCTACAGCGTTCTTCCGTCTACAACCCGTTTGCGGAGAATTCATTGATGGACTCTCGCAGTGGCGGTGCTCATAACTTGGCAAAATCCAAAGGACCATCTGCTGTGCGGTCTTCGTTGTCGAAAAGCCGGCGCCACGCCAGCGTCTCTTCAAACGTGGGGTCCCATCGTGGTCGACCAGCGCTCAACGACTCTATGGTGCCGCGCAAGGCGTCAAAGCCGCGTGAATACTCCAAGAACCGAAGCCGAAACGGGCGTACTGAGAGCAGTACGTCTTCGTCTGGCAGACGTCTTCCCCGATCCGGCATGCGCATGGCAAATACTGTCGTTGGTCCAGCTTACTACCATCTCGGAGTGATTGACATCCTGCAGACATGGACGCTTCAGAAGCGTATGGAGCGGCTCTTCAAGATTGCCTTTCGGGGCGTCGATGGCGACGGGCTGTCTGCGATCCCGCCGAAGTTGTACCAGGCGCGTTTCCAGCTCAAGATGGCTGACATTCTCGGCGTAGAAGACCTCGTGAGCGGTGACAGCATCAACTACGATTTGTTCACGCAGCAGAACTCGCACATGGACGTTGATACGCAGCAAGCGGACCAGCCACACAACATCCAGTCCATTCGATCGCTGGCGTCCTCGGAGCTTGTGGCCATTAACCCTCTGGACTCGCACTACGCGAGCAGCCGTTCGTCTTCGATCCTGCGACAACGCAGTACGGAGAACTCACAGTCCGTTGGCCAAGACACGGAGGAGTACACGGGCATCGACTACCACTTGTAGACACGCTGATGCGATGCAAAGATATGATGTCTGGTGCGCCTTTGTGGGACGCCGCTTCGACCCGCGTGCGAACTCGATATTGTGTGCTTCCGACACTGTGTGTAGCGTGCGTGAGGAGGCTGCGCACTTTCATCCGTGTAAATGATTACTGACCGCCCTGTTACATACTACATGTCGGATCGTGTCGTGGACTACAGTGCTATAGGTCTCAGCTATTGGCGAGCGCCTATCTACAGCCACTTTGTGAATGCTAAATGTACTATCTACAGTAGTACCTACAGTGGTATCTACACTTGTAGGCTGCTGAGCAATGTAGCCATCGACGTTCTACAGCAGGTGGGGCATCACATGACGGCGCCTCGAAGTAGACTGAGCTGCATCGAACGATCGAGAAGTGCGCTGCAAAGTCGCCGACGTCATCGTTTCTGACAAGACGTTCGATGGGCAAAGCATACAGTGAAGCCTCATCGGCATGTTTGTCTCTTCTTTGCTTTCGTATGTGGAATTGTGGCACTTTTGTGGTTCAGGAACATCCGCAGCGGCATCGCCTAGTGCACGTTGCATACATGTCCCTCATGGCGCGGTGCAGTAGGGGCTCAACTACTTGGACACTGCACGACTATCTACCGCTCGTGCGTTTTCTGCTGACACGTCCGCTCTGCGCAGTCTTTTGTACTTATTCTTGGCCGAGTGGCATAAGATCTACGCTTTGGACTGCATGTAGACATCGCACACAATGTGTCGCACATACTCAAATCTCTGCGCGCGCCGAGCAACAGCATACAGAGTGAGCTTAGTGCAGAACAAACAGGACGCGTTGTCACCATTGCGATCACGGGGTCCCCCGTAGCATACCCTGACTTTTGATACTTCTTGTCTCCGACATTGCATTTGTAAACACACTTTGCGGTCTGTTCTAACAGCCAAAAGACTGTGGCAGTGCAATCATTCGGTTGTTCCGCCTTTGTCTTCGCACCTGCAGAATGAGCTGTCTGTTTCCTCTTTATCGTGTGGGACCACCTGCATTGATAAAAACAATCGACACCACCGTTTGGCCTTTGCTTTGACACCTCCAAAGTGGAAAGCTGGCTGGTGATCCCTCTCTCATCACGATGCATGTCTTCTTGACGGCAACTCGGCGTCGCTCACACAAAGTTGCTGCCGTCTGTGCACTGTGCGGTAATGTCCCACATTTTCGTGGACGACTCTCGATAGGTCGACCATTAGCACTATTGCATCCAGTTGCATCATTTCAAGCAGCTGGTCGAGTATCGACATGCATCGAACGGTAGTTCGGTCGAGTTTAGTCTGCACACACACACACACTGGCAACGGTCGATGTCACGTAGAAGAACGAAGTATGACCCGAGTGCTCCAACTTTGTATGTTGTGTAGCGATTGAATTGCCTGTTGCAAGACAATTGCTGAAATGGAGATCGACAACCTGCTGAGTGTTTACATCTTCGAAACGTACGCATAAAAGCAACGACATGGCGTCGGGCGAGAGCTTTACACTGGACAAGTTCGGCAGCTCACTGACTCAAAAAGAGATGCTACTACTTTTGCAGTGATCACCAAAAGCGTTATGCAGCTTACAAAGCTTCCTGACTCTTGCAGAAAGGCTTTGCGAGGCCATTATCCTGTACTCGGGGCCGCGTCGATTACCTGAGCGTTTCAATACCCCGACTATCGATAACATGAGGCAGCCGCAGTCCTCGAGAAGGCAGGATAACGATTATAGCACGGAACAACACACGTTCCAGCATGCCAACCACGGTTTACAATGTATCCATCCATCCATCGACATACAAAGACGATTGACCGGCAATAAACGGTCCGTCGTCTTTGATGTCCATCAATGTGTACGCTGCGGACGTACCTCGACGACAGCTTCTACATGCTACGACTTTGACGAAAGTATGTGCTCGGCAATGGCCCAGACGCGACGCTAAGTGACGGACAAGTGGTGCAGTTTCGTTGCAAGGATGCATACCTGCCAACTGGGACATGTCGAAACGTGTTTGCTGGTCGTCCAGTCGCGACGCAGCAATCGGCAATAAATCACCGCACAAAGTCTGCCACACTCACTACCTCATCGTGTCTTTGTCTACACATGCAGTTCCTTCTTTACGAGGTCCGCAAGTTTCTCGAAATCTGCTAATCCTTTCTTGACTTCAAACGTCTTCAAAATGCCCTCGTTCGTGTAAAAGTCGACGAGCGGCAACGTCTCTTGCTTGTACACCTCCAGTCTGCAACAACAACAACAACAACAAACAACAACAGCAACAACAGAGCAGGAAAACAAAGTCGTCACTCCAACAATCTCGACAAAACAACAGCTCAGCGACTCCCGTCACCTATGTTCCACAGTCTCTGGTGCGTCGTCGGATCGCTGGACGAGCGACGCCGTGCCACACACGTCACAGATCCCGTCCACTTCGGGCAGCAACGGAGGCATATAATACTCGCCACGGTCGATAAACGCCACATTGTAGCCCGTGCCGCACGTGGTACAGACCCTGTCCAACACAGTACCCCGCAACAAGTGATAACAAGCAGCGTTACTTCACAGCCACGCATCTTCTAGCTCAACAACAATACAGCATAACAGCTACAGCATACCCCCAACTACACCATAACACCAACTACAGCATACAACAACAACATAACTCCCCAACAACCGACCTCCGGCCACTAATCTTCTCCTTGAGGATCCACTGGGGGAGCTCAATGTTCAGCACGAGGTCCAGCGTCGTCACCTGCTGAAACGCTTTGGCCTGCGACACGTTGCGCGGGAACCCATCGAGAATAAACCCTCGTCGCGCATCCGCCTGCCCTAACCGCTGCTCCATCATGTCGAGAATGATCGCGTCGGGCACGAGCTGTCCGCTGTGGTTAAACTCTTTGATCGTCTCGCCCAGCGCAGTGCCCGTCTGGATCTCGTGGCGCACGAGGTCGCCCGTGGAGATCGTGGGGATCTGCAAGAGGGGCGCGAGGCGGGACGCGTACGTGCCTTTGCCGGCGCCGGGCGCGCCCAGGAACATGAGCTTGAGCGACTTGGCGGCCATGAGGCGGCAAAAGGAGCTGCTCGGCTTGCGCACGGGATAAAATGAGGTGCATGTCACTAGAGCGAGGGGACGGTCGACGAGCGTCACGAGGCCTTTTGCGTGGCGAAGACAGGACGCACGTTGGGAGAGTGACCCGTTTTAGTGCCAATTGTTGCAAGCAGCAGCACCTTATTGCGACTTTGTTCAAGCAGGAAAAGGGCGCGGAGGAAGTAGCGAATTCAGGATAATTGCGGTGCGGTCACGCAGCTGCGACTGCATTGACAATAACGGTCACGGCGATGAAGGGGCTCATAAGTAGCCGTTGTGTTTTGACGACTGGCATACAGTACACGATATGTGAAAAAGCTGAAACGCTTTTTACGTGCATGTGCTTCAGCGTTACGAAGCGAAAAAGAGTGCCGCACGCACTCGAAGAGGTCCAACAAGTGTGTCTCGTTATGCCCCGTCTTATCCTGTAGCACACACGATTCGGTTATCTCCTACACTGATGGCGCAGGTCACCACCATACGTCACTCGCAACGGTAAATGTCCCGCCCGTTCTGCCATTGATCACGCAGCCTTTCTACTTGCGAGAGAAGCAGAACGGACGAGCACTGCCATCACGCAGTCCCAACGCGTTGATACAACTGTTCAGCCCATACATAGCCCACTATTGACTTGGATCGCGTTCCATTGCACTGCCCAACAAGTGGAGCACAAACGCGCACATCTAAGTGTCGGATTCGTGTGCGGTCTCGTATAGAAATCGAAAGCTGTCGTCCAGACACGCACACAATTGTGTCGCCTTCGCTATTGATATCAGCGCAAAGTTCATGTCTCGATCATGGCTGTTGGGTTAAGCAAAGTGCAGCCAGCGGTCCCTCGCCTTCCTGAACCGACTGACCGGCTACATTCGCGTGACAATCAATCCGTAGCTACAATCACTTTGTACAAAAAGCCGACACGCGCACTGGTTTTACTAAACCAGTACATCGCACCACCGAGTGCGTCTCCTACTGCAGCTGCACTGCTGAGCCCATGATGCATCACCACACGTGGGCGATCGGTGCCAGTCTCGCAGTGGCCGTTGTCTCCTTATGCGTTGCGCTCAACGTGCACTGGGGCACGACCGTCGCCGCTGCTTGCGTCGGCGCGTACCTCCCGTCGTACTTGGACGGAACAGAGTACACGGGCGAGCGCTGCTGGCCGTGGTTTGCCACGTTCGTTGGGCGCTGTGTGGCGCACATTCCAGGCACACTGGAGTTTGAGGCGCCGCTCGACCCCACCACACAGCACATGTTCTGCTCGCACCCGCACGGACTCTTGTCTGCTCATCATGGGCTGCTCCTGTCGGGTCAAACGTCTCCACGTACGTGAAAAAAGCACACTCGAGAAGAGTTGCATTGATGTCACATTCACTTTGTTTAGTGGTACAAACGATACTTTCTTGTGTTTGTGGATTACTGATGTTGTCACGATTGTTGTCGCCGCTGTTGTCACTGATGTTCGTTCGTATTGTTGTTCCTGTCGTTGTTGTCATTGCTACTGTTATTGTCGTTACTGTTGTTGTTGTCGCTGTTGCTGTTCTTGTCGATGTGCCGACAGCTTTTCATGAGACCGTTCCACTCTCGACGCGGCGTCATTTGGCTGCGTCCATCTGCTTCCGTGTGCCGCTGTACCGGGACTACGTGCTCTGGTCTGGCTGTGTCGATGCGCGACGCAGTGTGGCGGAAAAGGTGAGTGCTGGAGAAGGAGCATGCCGAAGGTGGTCGTGACAGTCACTGACAAAGGAACGACTTGACGCAGATGCTGCAGGAGGGCAAGAGTCTGGTGATTCTAGTGGGAGGGATTGCAGAGCAGATGTTGTCTCAGCGGGGAGACCATACGATTTACGTCAAGAAGCGCAAGGGTCACGTCCGCTTAGCACTCAAGTACGGGGTGCCGATTGTACCGAGTTATGCTTTCGGCGAGACGGATCTCTTCTCTCACGCCACGTAAGTTTGTCGTCGTCATCATTGCGGTCATACTTGGTCGTCAAAGTCGTGGTTGTTGACTGGTTTGTCGTAACTCTAGGACGCTGCTATCCTTTCGCCAAGCGATTGCGAAAAGGTTCTCGGTAGCGTTGCCACTTGGGTTCGGCCGCTCGAAGTGGCGCTTCTGGGTACCTCACGAAGGAGTGGCTATCAATCAGGTCTTTGGTCGACCCATCGTTCCTGTCAAAATGACCGATGACCCGAGCGCCGAGCAGATCAAGGAATTGCACGAGCAATACGAGCGAGAGCTTGTCCGCATTTTTGACAAGTACAAAGCGACGTACGGCTATGGAAAGTGTACGCTCGTCGTGTGCTAGCCGTTCGCGCGTTTCGTGTAGCAGTTTAGTTTCGTGCAACTAGCTGTATAATGGATTCACCGGATTTCCACAACCCCCTTTATCATGCTTCAAGCCACGTAAACGAACCTCGCCTGGTCGACGTCGTGACGGCGCAGGTACTCTTTCTGAATGAGGATCTCGACATTCTGCTTGATTGCGGTGCTGGTGGGCACGAACTGGTGAAGAAGCATCTCGGTAACTTCTTGTACCAGTTGCGCTTGATGAACGTCTCGACGTGTCTTGAGAACACGCACGATTGCAGCTTGCAGCGACATCTTCCGATCGTCTTCAATCTCGTGGGCTGGAGCTCTGACTGTCTTCGGGGACTCGACTGGAGTATTCGGAATAGCCTGATCACCGTTATACGTCAGGACGCGTCAACATGAGGCAGTGGCGAAGCAGGTAATCGTACCGAAATTCGGAGTTTTCGACTGGTGAAACCGAAGTTGATGGCATACGTCGGGTCCGCAGCATCGTCTGACGTGAGCAACTTTGCCTGCAATGATAAAGGGTCAATAACGTCATACAACGCGCCCATTTGTACTACGAACACACCTTGACAAGACTAGCCATGTGATGGGTACACTCTTGCTCCGGGATATTGGTCAGCTGGATGATCTCGGACCGTTTGATCTCCTTTGCGTAGTTAAACTAGACAGCAAATGTTAGATCATGCGGAGCGTGCACTTCAAGCAACAAACAATGGCTACCTGTACGAGACTTAGCATCTGGTAAAAGCTTAGTAAAAGCTCGTAGCGCTTGTCGAAACAACGGCTTTGAACCATCCCGAACGAGAGATTGTGAATCCACAAGAGTTTTCGCCCCGTGCTCCTTTCGGTGTAAAACTTTGTAAACAGACGGGTATGTGCTTCCATGGAAGGTGGCAAAAAGATCTTGTGCTCGGCGGCTGCACTCGATATGGGCCAAGCTCCGGCTGTGAGGATATCACAGCGATAAGTTATGACGTGGTGCAAGTCAATGGCGGAGGCGTTAGCGGCTTCTTCGGCGCGCAGCTCGATGTCTTTTTCTTCGACCCAAGCAGCGAACGAATCCATCAATTCCTGCCATATGATGCATCAGCTTCTTAGCAAGACAGATCGATCGATATTGCGAATCACGATCGATGACGGGTGCGCGTACCTTGCTCGACATCTTGTCCTTCATCATCTTCTGCAGTTTCGACACGAAATCACATCCGCAAGTATTGCGCAGCTTTTGAATCAGCAATATTTCCATATCGTTTGAAACCGAAGTGCCTGTGTGGCAATAAGCAAAGCAGAAAAATGATGGCGTTGACGAGAAAGCATCAGATCCTGCTGCACGATAGCGATACAAGATACAAGCAAATTTGATAGCGATGCAATGTACCATCAACCATACCTTTGATGAGCCTCTTCGCCAAGAACTTGGAGTAGTACTTCTTGAAAATGTCCTTGTCATCGATTAGACAAAACACGACGCTGATGTTTTCGATTTTCTGCTCTATCATATCATCCAGAAGTGGCATCAATCTTGGTGATCCTGGCAGAAGTAGGGCTCGACTGGCCCCTCGCTTCTTATCGCGTGACATCAGGCGGTGCGTGTACTTTGCCAGCAATTCAGGAAGCCGAGGATGAGAATTTGCAAAAGTCCGGCATGCCTGGCTCACGAAAAGAAGTAACGTTTTTCCGTCGTGAGAACAGAACGTAGCGGCGACAGGATAGACGCCATTACGGCAAACTGACGAACCTGATCAAGCGCAGTCCGCATGAGAGGGTGATAGCCGAACGCGTCTTTGATCAAATCAAAGTACTTGTTTCGAACTTGCACCAGAGCTTCAATGTACCCCTCTGGATCTTTCGTGGCGTCTGCTTGCTGGAACTTTTGCACAACCTCGAGACCGCTCCGTTCAATGTACTTCTTCAGGATGTTCTGTCACAGCAGTGTAAAGAGCTCGATCATCAATACAAAGCTGTACACCTAGCTGTGGAGAGGTCTCAGGCGTACCTTGAACGACGTCAGTGCATTCTCGGTCGTCAGCTCTGAGAAAAGGGAAAACAAACGGCGCAGATCGTCTTTCTGGTTGTTGATCAAGAAAGTCTCTGCATCCTCACAGATCTGATCAGCATGCTCCTCTACCAAGACATGGCAGCAAACGTGTCGAAGTTGAGCAACAGTGCTGTAGACGCAAAGTAACGAAGCATACTACATCAGACGTGCCACGAACGAGCACGGAGCCGCATGAGGGGAAAACATGACCCACGTCCGATGCAATCGATCTTCGCAACGAGTCTGCTCTTGAGCGCAAAACAGCTCGGCTTCTCGCAAGTATTCGGAGATCGTCACCCGGGATAAGAGCTCCGTCGCCTGTGCAGCAAAGTAGCTTGCTGTATCCTACGAATGCACAAGATACCGCAGCTAAGCCCACTGTTTCGTGTCGAGATCAGGCATCCAAGCAACAAGCTGCACCTCTAACAGTGGTTGCTCTAACTCTTCTCGGTACAGACTCATCTGGTCCTGTCTGCATAGCCCCAGACTGAAGAATGTCTACAAAACGACCACAAGTGCGTCACAAAGCCACACATACACAACGCCAAGTCCAGCAACACAAGCAGCATGCGCCAAACCTCAACTGTGGTGGCAATACAGTCTCCGTCTTCAAAACACGCGCTTCGGTCGCGTCGGGCGGTATGGAAAATGTGAATAACTGCCCTCACGACGCGCTTCTTGAGTTTCGAAAACGCAATGTCGTGCCACAAGTGAAGCGACAGCTGTGTCACACGTAGACACACACGTTGACACAGAGACAGACATACACACACTCAGCTCTTTCCGTCTCTCTAAACTGCATCTCAACACCAGCTACAAAACGAGATGTGGGACGCACTTCGGTCACCGAATACACACCCGGCACAGGCGCATGCCCCGTCTCACAGTGCGAATACGAGATCCAGTAGCGGTTCTGTCGCACCAATTACAGCACACACACACACAAACAAACAAACAAAGACACAAACACACACAGAGGGTTCAGCACGCGCGTGCCGCTGTAGCTTTGGCTCTCCCACGCTGTTGCAGCATCACAACGGCCCGTCACGGACCAGATAGCGAAAGAGCTCCGAGATGTAGTTCGTCCCGGTCGCAAACGACTCGAACGCGCTGCAGTAGCGACGCAGGAACGCCGGCTCGCCGTCGATCGCGTGCAGCTCGTGCAAAACCGACTCGACGTGCGTCGCCAGCAGCCGTCGCAAGCGGAAGAACAGCGTCTCGGCTTGCGGCGCGCCAAGATTCGTGCAAATCTTGTAAATGCCACTGCACGCGCAGACGAGACATACACACACACATACACACATACACATACACGCACACAGTGAGGCCCGACCAACGACCAGTGGAGCGTCCGCACACGCACACGACAGTCGCACGACTGCGTCACGTACGAGTACATTGCGAGCCACGTCTCGTTCGTGAGTGTCTGGGGCGCCCCTGTGATCAGCGACGCTAGAAGCGGCTGCATGGCGCGCCATTCGTGCTCAAAGTCAACCTGCACAAGCGTCGGCGTTGCGGTGAATGTCTAGCGAGTTGCAGGGGCAACGGCTGCGCACGGGGCGCGCCGCCTGTCTTTTATACAGCACGTGGTGCGCGCGCGCGGAATGGACGTACCGCTGCTGTCTTTAGTAGTGACATGATGCCGTCGTCGGGTTGTGGCGTTGCGGTTCGTTGCCGCACGCGCACTCGGTGTCGCGTGTGGCAAGATCCGATACAAACTTGAAGTGCCGCCGAGTTGCGATGCGGAATGGTCGGACGGTTGCCGCTTGAGGGGGGAAACGCGTCGGTAGGATGGCTACTAACCGAGGCCCTACTTTTTCGTTTCGGTTTTTGGCGACCGATTTCTATCGTTTCTAACCCGCTGGTGCTTCGGTGATCTGCGAGTCCCTGCGTTTCGGCAGTCGTCGCCCGACACAAAAGCAGTCTCGGGCACAAAAGGGCGCAGTCTACTGTCGACGATTGTGTTGCAGCACGTAAGATAAAGGCTATAGCCAAAATGCGCGTTCCACAGGTGGACTTTGGGCACTACTGCCTGGCGACAGCAGTGACATCGAAAGAGGTTCGAGCAATTCGCTACAAAATAGACGAAAAGCACTAAACAAAGTCGCTGTGTCCTATTGACTCACGTCGATGTCATGCTCACAAACACTTCCTTAATGCGCTCCAGTACAACGTCGTGGAGGTGGTCCAGTGTGCCGTGAAAGGAGTGGAGGTCGATGCGAATCTCCGTGAACGGAAGCATCGCTTCTTCTCGACGGTGCGACACTAAATACTTCTGCACGTCCTGCAAGTTGCGGAACCCACTTGCACTTTGGTCGCCGCGGTATCGCGGGTCAGGAGAATTCGTCATGAAATTGTGGTGATCGGCTTCGTCCAGCGTGAGCAGAAAGGGAATGACGATGCCGGAACAAGTGGTGGCGCTGCTGTTCTCTTCGGATGCACTGATTGTCTTCTGGTACAAACGCGGATCGATGTGGAACCCTTCAATAATGAGCGACTTTCCATCTTTCAGACACTTGTTAATGTCAGACTCCACGCCCTTGCGCACCACTTTGCACTCCTTCTGGTACTCCTCGATAAGGCCGGTGGTCGATGCAAACGTCGTCGTGATGTACGAAGTCTTTTCCTGTCTGCAAGTCAGCGTGATGCGTTATACGTACCCCAGGCTTTGACGGAGTCGTACCGGCAAAAGATCGATGCACGTACCCTGAAAAGTTGCACATGAGCTCAAAGATTAGATCCGTCTGCAAGACGCTCGAGAGATTCAGGCGATCAGCCAGCTGCATTCACACACCGCAACGAAGGTGCAGAATACAGCATTAGCGAGCCTTTTCGCATTGCAGCGACACGCACACAGAATGACGCACTTTTGTTGCCAAAGTGGATTTGCCGATGCAAGCGGTGCCGGCTAACATAATGAGCAGCGGGACCCGATTGCGATGAAAGCTGCTCGAAAAAAGCCCACAGAAACAGCACATATACACGGCCACTTGTCGTCAGAATCCAGCACTAGTTCATGACTTGGCCCATTCCTCATGTCTCTCTGCGTACCTGGACATCATCCGATAACACGAGATCTGCGGTTCTCCATACCCAAACACTAACATGGTTTTATACAAAAAGTCCTCAAATTGCTCCTGCCCAATATCCGTGACGTTCAAGTCCACCAGCGTCTGTCGAAGATAAACATAACCCCATTGCCATGACGTGTGTAACCCCTTGTACCCATTTACAAGCGTATAAAACCTCGCGCAGTGTTTTCTTCTCACCCTTTTCAAGTCGAGCGAAATCTGCACGGCGTCCCTCGAATTGATCTTCACACAGTACACATCGCGACCGACATATGAGACATCTTTCCCATGTCCTTGTTATGGGCGTCCCCTATCCCTCTCGTTACCTTGGCGCTGACCAGTGCGCGACACAGCAAGTAGCGTGACAAGACGTACACGTGGTCTTCCACCCACACGCGCACCTTCACAAAGTCGTACTTGGACTGGTTTCGCTTCACTACGACTTCGTTCGGCTGTTCATTCAGTGCCCTCAATACCAGCGGTGGCCTCGTCGGTGGCGGCGTCTCCTCCATGTCCATGAGTCCTGGCAAGACCACGTCGTGTTCATTGAGGCTCATGACGAAATAAAGAGCTACGACGGACTCGCGGTATTGCCACTTCAATCGGGGGGGGGGTGCTGTTCCATGCGGTGATTCGTTGAAATCGATGGCTTTGCGTGAGCATGATTACTGCCAATCACGAAGCGAGAAAGCGTCCGAAACGAGCACCATGGGACAAGTGCGTCAGCTGAGATACCTCTTATTGACATTTCTGACAGTCGGGACCCGAACATGCTGGCAAGATTCTGACCGTCAGGCGGCCAACACGTCGACCATGCGGACCGCCAGAGTGGCTCATGGTCGGTGTGAGCACGTACGAAACTAGAGCGTAAACTTGACGATAGCTGTGTTTGTAGCGAGCTCAACAGGTGACGAGAGAGAGTGCATGGACCGAACTTTGTTGCGCTTACGATTACCGAAGCTGCCAAGAGAAAAGAGGGAACGAGTTATGGGGAAGACGGGTCGTGAGTTGGCTCGCACTGCTAGGAAGGAACAGCGCATACGTTGTCGTTTACAGAGCCGAAAAGTGTGGTGGATGATTGAAGCAGCTGGACAGCCATTGCTGGGAGAGTCGCCGGACGCATGTGAGGCCCCGCAGATCCCGAGGGAACTGATGAGCAGTCTGCACCGGTTCATCCCAATCCTGCCTTACCATAGCGCTCTCGTTATATGTGTTCGAAACATCAGGTATCTCCACCAAAACCATTGCTACGGAAAGTCTAGTGCTGTCAAAGATCGACCCGTGCGATGACAATATAGAATGCCTGAGGCTGTGTGACGTCTATTTCAAAGTCGACTGTGGGTGACCCTGCCAACGCATCCACCACGAGTTGTGCGTCTTGTATAGGCATGCGTGACGACAAAACAAAAAAAAATGCTCTCCGTAGTTGAGCGGTCCGAGTCACTTCAGTCGTACACATCCCAGTTGTACAATTGCAACTATTGTCAGCGTGATTTGGCAAACAAAGCCTTGCGATACGCGGCAACTACTGCACACTTGTTCACGCTGCACAGATCCATCTTCTCAACACCGCTGAGCTGCAGCAGCATCAGAATCTGCGTGAGTATCAGTGCCGACAAGGCAATATCGTGCCATCCGTACCTTGTCGAAAAAGAGCAGACCAGCCTGTTTCTCGATCACATCTAGCGGAACCTGAAACTCAAGAAGGTCTTTGTTCTCGGGGATGGCCTTGTTCGGCAAAATAAAGCCGGCTGCGGCAAACGCTCGCCTGCCTCGCTGTTCACCCAGCACTACTTTGAAGAAGTGTGTTGGCACAGCTGTGGCATTCGGCGGAGTGCCTAGCACAGGGTACGAAACCTCGTATTCTCCCGATCGTTTGTTTTTCTGGATGATCGAGACACGAAGCACGTCAGCAACAATTGCAAACGCGAGGCCGAGTGAGTATCATGCATCACCTTGGGTAGAAACAGAGGTCCGGTAATGACATAAACGGCGTCGTACTGACCGGCCAGGTGACGGACAAACCCTTCGAGGCGTGCCCAGTATCCACGGTTGAAGCCCACACCGACCTGTGGCGACATGTTCGTCATGAGAAAACTCTCGTCCATGGCTTGCTGTGAATGGCTCATATCACCTACACGCAACGTAGCGCAGTCAGCACGTGCGAAATTGACGCGAGAACCTGTCATCGTGACAACAACAACGACAACATACGAGCTGGAGCCAGGTGCCCCTTGTCGTAGCCGCTCTTGAGGTACCGGTTCGGATGCACTTGAAACTGCGCAGGGACATCGTTGTCCACCATAAACTTGGAGTTCGATCGATCAGTCTCTTGCTCGACTTGTAGCGAGCTTTTTGTCAAATACTGCATCACCCACGACGGATTGCGCGTCCTGCAACAGCACGCAGCAATCACAGTAGCAGCTGAAGTCACTACGTGGAACGCCATTGGTCGTTCCTGATTCTGCAATCCATTGCATCGCGCACAGTACCGGTAGTCGAACGACACGACGTAGCCCGACCGCACGAATACATTCGAGTTGGACGGCATCCCGTAGCGCAGTGCTTCGTGTTCAACCAGCGTCTGGGGCTTCAATGGCTTGTGGTCCGTTGGTGTAGTATCAGGCCTTCTTCGCTCGTCTCCTTCGTCTTCGATTCCAAGCACGATCAACGTCCCTGCAATGCCAATGGAAATGCCGAGGGACACACCTGCCAACGTCCGTCTGTAATTGGTCCATCCATTGACGCATTGTGTCATGCCACACACGACAGTAAGCAGACAGTAACAACGTACGTGTTTCGAGCATCAGATGTACATGACGGGTACCGCGTACCGGAGACTCGCAGGCAGGAACATGGCCAGCGACCGCGTCGGCGCGCTCTTTCGTCGGCCTTTCATCGCACTCTGTTCGCGTCGGATCGGTGATTGGCTAAAACAAAAGCTGTCCATCCAAAGGATGCGTGGTGTGGTCCACGTGGATGGCACGTTCGTGTGCATATGGTGTGGCACGTGTTTTACGTGGTCTCGCCACACGAGAGCAAAGCGGTGGACCCACTCGAGTGTAGTTATCATGTCGAGGAAGAACAACCGGCACAAGATCAAGGCGCAGTATGAGCTGGAGGTCGAGCGAGAGCGACAGCGCAAGGAGAAGCTCATAAAGAAGCGCGAGCGGGTTCGTCTGCGTGTGTGTTTGTGCGGTCGAGAGCGCTCTGTACGCGACGTGTGGTGGTCGGGTGACAGTGTGTCGTGTGTATGGCCTACTGCAGAAAGCGAGTGCCCTGAAGAGCAAAGGAGAGACAGTGGTAAAGAAAGTGTCCAACAAAGTGCTGAGGAGAATGCGCATTCGACAGATGGAGCAGGAGGCGCGTGACGGGATGGACGAAGACGACGGCGCGGACGAGAAGAAGAAGAAGAAGCAGAAGAAGCGAACGGCCGACGAGATGGCGATGGAGGAATAGACGCACGCTGTGGATTGCCCGAGCTGTTGTTTTGTGTCGTGGGCTTTGCGTCGGACGTTGTTGATAGGATCGATCGTTTTTCCGTGTCCGTCTTGCGGTCTGGCAACAGAACAGCAGTGGGTGCAGGATCGCTGGTGGGGTACTGCAGAGGATGCAGTTGTTACCACAAAGCGTGTCGCTCCAGGCAGCTAAACGCGACAAGCTTTGCACTGCTCAAAGTTGCTAAGCTTTTATTGCCAACGACAATGTCGCCTGTTGTGTTGGAGAGACGTGTGCGTGGATTTGGTCGTGTCGGCATGTACGAGCTGAATCGTGACAAGTACGTGCACTTGGACGATTTGTTCGATATCTTGCAACGCTGCAAGACGCTGTGGTCCCGGTCCGCAATTGAAGCGGTGCATGTCGACCATGTAGATGGGGGACAGATGGTGCAAAGTGTGTTGGACATGTATGTTCTTCGTCAAGCTCGTCAGTTGGTGAGCTACTCGGAGCTCGAGCATCCCAAGACAATTCCGTACTTGCCAAAGTCTTGTATCGACAGCATTCCTGCGGGAGACAACGCAAATGTAGGACATATGTCAAAGCGTTTCCTTCACGTACTACAGACATCTTGCGGCCCAGGCGAAGTGCTGCGTTGCCATTTGCTGCGCCACTGTATACCTAATTGGTCGGAAACTCGTCCAACATGGCAAACAGATGCCATCATCGTCTCAGTAGCTCTTGCGTGATGTTTGGGATGTCAGGCTGACCGGATAACGTCCAGCAACTTGCTCGAAGCAACAGGCTCAACACACGACGTAAGAACAGGCGGGTACTGCATAGCTACGAGCGCAACGTATTCAGTGTGCTGGCTTGGTTATCGCTACCCGAAGGAATGGAGGCCACGAAGCAGCAACGCCCCTTCTTGGTTTGCCGCACCGTTCCACCTCCTTTGTTGATCCTTGCTTACGTCTCTGGTTGATAGTCCGGATTCTTTCGGAGGATTACAACGCCTTCTAGCACATTCGTGAGCGGGAGGTACTCTTCCGTCGCAAGCTCTGCGCGGTCCTTGACATTCAGCAGCACAGGCGTTGTATGCGTCTGGAATCCTGTAATAGACTTCGGGCGGCCGGCCTGGCCCACAATCTCAACCTGCAATTACACCAAAGCAAGAAACGTTAGCGCACGTGCAGTCTAAGATCACCACGGTAAATGAATGCGTACCGCCTGGCCGACTCGAACGGATACAGGAAGCGGATTCAGCTCTTCATCAAGCGTGATGAGCATACGGGGTTGCATTGCTGTGGCGATGCAGTAGAGAATATAGTGGGACGTGTCCAACACCGTGTGCTCCATATCTAGCGAAGCGTGAAGAATCGTCAGCAAACCGCTGACCGCCACACGAGACATGATTAACCGGTCGGAGTGGAACGGGTGCAGGGTCATCAGACCCTTGCCCATGTGCAGCAAGCCTTGGGCGATACGGACAACGAACAGGTGGTTTGCTTCGCGATTGTAAAACTCTGAAAGCTGGCGAAGCAAACCAGCAACTCGCGAGTTGTTCGTGCCGGCCGACACTAGGCCGAGCGCGAGGATGGCATTCTGAGCAACACCCGAGTCAACATCGTGGGTAAGGCGCGACAGCGTGTCGATCAGTGCGTACTCAGGGTCAGACACGCTCAATAGAGCAAATGCCAGAGGCACTGCTCGGCGTACTGCCACTTCACCGTACTGCAGCAAGTGGTCAAACGATCGCATTGCCATCTCGCTGCCAATTTTCTCGCCCATCGTGATCAGAGCGATACCGAGGACAGCAACACTCTGGTGCTGTGCCTCAACAGAATCCTCAATGTGTTCAGCGCAAGTGCGCAGGAGCTGCTGGACCTTCAACACGTTGCCTGAGCCAGCGTATGCACACGTTTCCAGCGTGATAGCCAGGTACTTCGACATTTTGTGCTCAATGGTCTTGGCAGCTTCCAGCATAGCTTCCACGCGCTCCTGGCGGCTGTACGATGAAATGACAGCAAGCCCATGTCAGAATACTTACTGTGATCGTGTCTATGCGCATCTCAGTAACTCTACGTACCCGAGATACAACAGGCCAAGTCCAAGAGCAAGGAAACGCGCGCATGACGAGTCCAGCTCCGCGTCCGAGCTCTCCATAAGTCGCTGCATCAGCACACTTCCAGCCTCCTCGTCACAAGTACCCACTTCAACCATGCCAAGTGCCAGCGCAGCGTACGACACTTCCTGAATGTCAGCGTTCTCATCAGCATGGGAAACCACCGGGATCAGCAACTCAGACACATCTTCACGGGCTGAACCTGCGTACGCAATGCCCAAACCCAGACAAGAAGCACAACGGATGGAGCAGTTGCCTGAGTCGATATGCTCGGACAACAGCGCAAGCGCGGGATCGCAGTCATTGCGAATACCGGCGCTAACAACACCGACGCCGAGGATGGCACCGGCTTTGACAAACTCGTCACCCGAGTACAGGTATTTGTCAATCTGCGTAATGCCCTCTTCAACATTCCAAAGCATGATCATGCCTAGTGATGCGGCCGCGCTCATCATTCCATGCTTTTTGTTCTTATACAGCCATGTGTTCCCTTCCGGGGTCATAAGCTTGTCCGTTCCATAGCCGGCGTTCACGAGAGCGTTCACAAACGTCGACGCCAAGTTCGCACGCGCAGAGTCAGCAGGCTGAGACCCCGAGTCCCGACCGCGACCGACACTTGCTGTCTCGGACAAGTGCGACTTGTAAATATCCTCGGGGGTCTTGGCTTCCATGACGTCCAGGTCACGAGCGAGCGACAGGAACTTGTCACTCAAGTCTGCGTTGCCAATAACTTCATTCACCGACGTTTCGCTCTCATCTTCATAAAAACAGCGCTGCCGACCCAAGATGTATCCCATCTGGTTCCGCACCACATCGTCTTGACACTTCTGGAACACTTCCGCCACCAACTCGTCATTGCTAATCCGCAGCGCGACACGAAGTGCATCCGGGAACTGCTCCAGACGCAGGAAAAGCGCAAAGGCCGTGTTCAATAGATTTGTCAAATCCTCAGCGTCCGACATGAAATCGGCACAGGCCAACAGGTAGAGACACACGCGCTGGTAATTCTTCTCGTCAATGTCCGGGCTCTCCAACAACCTCGGGAGTTGCTGCACTTCAATCAACATATCAATCGCCTCCGGCTCGGCGTTGTGTTGCATGTGGAACGGCACGATCGTGTCCACAGTCTCCAGCAAGTCCCGCACGTCTGGATCCACCGCGCCAACAGCTGTTACCCGCGCATTGTACTCTTCCCCGACTTCCCCGGCCAAGGAGCGCACAAACTCGTGGCCCCACGAGCCCAGCTCCGTCCTGTTGCCCTGCAACTTAAACTTGAGACTCTCCCGCGAGCCCTCTTTGGCCATGGTCATGGCCAGCACGGCCAGCACGTCGGCCATGAGTTTCCTCGTCTCGCCCGCCTCCACGTACTCAAACGCCGTCTTCAACTCGTCGTAGAACGGCCGCAGGAACTTGAGCGGCTTCGGGACAGACGTCATCGACGACGTGGCCGAGCGGATCTCGCGCCGCAGGAGCTCGAGCGCCAGCTGCTTGACGCCCACGTCTTCGTGCGTGTCGCATACGCGGGTCACAGCTGTCTCGAGGTCTTCTTTGAGCTTGCGGTCTTCAAGAGACTGCAAATCATTCAGTCGCAGAGGGTACACACACACACACACACAGAGAGAGAGACAAACAGAGAGCGAAATGATTACGTTCGAGCGGATATTACAGGCGATCAGTGGGAATACAGCGCCAGTCGTACGAGCTCTTCGGCCGCCGGTGCGTCGCCCGACGACTTGGACGGCTTTAGCGGTTTGGGCGTCTCGTCGCTGCTGCGCGCAACGTCGTTGCTCGGCACGGGGACGGGCGCCGTCTCCTTCATGTTGCTGCCTCGTGGTGTGGCGGTGAATGGATTTCCCCCTGCGCGGATCTTGGAGTGGAGGTGGCGGGAAGGTCGTCCGAGGCGGCCGCACGATTCGAATGTGCTGGCGTGGGATACAAAGTGCTTTTTTCCTGCCTTTGTGTTTTTTTATCGACATGCAAACGCATCGATGGCCACGAGGTTTTTTGCTCATGTCGCTGCTGGTCACCGGAGTGATGGTCATGGACCAACATTGATGATCGACCGTTTAGTAGCGAGCAAAGTGTCGTGTGTGCGTGTTTCCGTGCCTTCTCTACCACTTACTCATACCTGAACCTCAGGTAGGTCTGCCTGCTGCTATAGTACGTTGCGTTCCATTTGCTCAGTGGACGATATGGAGAAGCGTGAGGTGGAAATGAGCACACCCGACTGGGCCAATTGACAACGAATATGTAAGCAAAAAACGGGCTTCAAGCACAAACAGGTGATGCTCGACTGAACAGAGATGCCACCCTAAACCGTAGCGTCTTTATCGGGCCTATTGGTACCCGTTTGCCGTCATTGTATCCTTATCGCTGGCTTCGTCATACACATATGTGCCAAACACGGCGAGAGCAGTGCGTGTGTATAGCGTCACAAACTTGCTTGAAGTCCCCGGCCTACCCGAAGTAGTGGACGTTTATCGTCAATACGCGACATCCCAGAAGCGTATTGGCAGAGATTGCCGTGACCACTCGGGTGTCGGATGAGGCGAACGGTCGAAGATCTGTGATGAATGGCGACACTGCAACTCGACGCATTCATATTTAGTTGCTAGTGACATCATCTTTTGGACGCACAAGAGCGCGCGTTGGACGTATTTGTATTCCTGTGCAGTTTCTCTATATACCCTAACTTTATATTGTAGAAACTAGTTATCACATTATCGGGTGGACAATGTAAATATTGCCTACCCGACAACATCATGCAGTCTTTGTTTTTTGGCGGTCTTAGTCATCATATCCGCCAAGAAGGTGTCAAGTGAGTGCTGGACGCACGTAATGGGCGACGAGCATGTACCCTTCATTCTTGTACGTGGTTAAATATGGTAATTGTAAGCTAGAAAGATGTGTACTCAGTAGATTATAAATATATCAAACGCACCTCTAATTCTTCCTGCAGTAAGCTTGTACGCGTAACTTCGTTCGTTTCTTAAGCGCCAGAGAACTCGGATTCGCATCGCGTGCCTTCGTTGCCATCAGTGAAGCTTTGTAGCGTATAGTGCATTAGCGCAGAGTGCTCCATTGCACCTGATAGCGTATCATGGTCTGTCTAACGAGTACGTACACATCCACCATGAACATATCGGTGAGGACAGCTTCCGTGCCACGCGTGCCATCTCCGTCCATATCAGTGATAACGAATGTAAGGAGATTGATTAATGAGCTTAGCCTCTAGTCGCCAGCGCCATCTTGTTCGCTTTATGGGAAGAAGAGCAACATGGCATAACACCCAAATTTATATTGCAAGTCCATTCCGACGAGATAGTTCAAGCTCACAAAAGTACACGCAAAAGGTATGTCGTTGTGTACGTCGTTGTGTTATTTAGATAAAAGCAGTTATCTAAGAAAAGATGAGCTACATAATAAGAATATCACAATTCTTTGGTGCAAACATGATACTTCGCAACTTACTTTGTATGATCTTATTGATACAAGATATTGACGCTTGCTAAAAGCGTTCTACCCGTTCACGTTTCCTTGATAAATAAACCTCATAATCCTCGATCTTTCACCATGAACACGTGGTCGGTACAATAATGCTGATAAAGCATCGAGATTCATTGAATATTTATGAAGCAATGCATTCGCTAGCATGTCCGCTGACACATAACCAGTCACTGTATATCTAAATGTAACGACGCCACGCTTTACTGGCGCCAACCCACTTGTTTGCTTATAAATTAGGGTCCCATTTGCCAAATTCCACTTAACATCAAGCTGATTCAATTTCGCTTGGTCGTCCCTTCGCAGTTGCATCAGTTATACAAAATTATTACTCCATTCTTGTAATATCTCGCAAGTGCCCGAAGAATTTCGAACCAATATTGATGCAGCTGTAAATTTAATAAAACATTGTCGACAGCACTACACCATCTTGTTGCATACACAACTAGCTCAATGAAATATAAACTCAACAGCTATTAGAACCAATCATATATGATGCATATGAAACTTTTATAGCAGCTAGTTCCACGTTACTTAGCTACTCACCTTACAAGATGTCCAAGACGCAACTTGTATAACCCGTAAAATACGATTTTCTGTATCTAAAGGATACATAGCTAAACTCTTAGTAAATTTAGTTCGTCACTTTATGTGAGTACTTGTAAATGACGTGCACTGCAAATGCAATGTGAAGTCTATCGAAAAGTGAGCATTAAGTAAATGAGTTACAAAACTATATGTTTATCGCCATAACTTTGTCTCATCACGCAAAATGAAATGTTTATAGCGCACAATCGTACAATTTGTATCACTCTTTGGGTTTGTCCGTACTCTACGTGCTATATTAATTCCATGGTTGCTCCTTCAGCGCGCCTAATATCCCAATTTGATATTTAATGGATATGTAACTACTGTCTCCCTCATCTTGAAATTGTATATTAAATCATAATGAGCACACCCGAGGTCCTTGTCGAACATGACTAAAATCATATTTATATATGTGTCTACATTATTTCCATCCATTCTTGTGATCAATTTCTGTTTCAGAGGTCATCTGCGTGAACACAATGAATCGAAATTTCTGTACATATGAATCTGTTCGAAACCAACTTTGACCATATTTTGTAGCGCCCCATTTTCCTTTTTTGGCTACAGTGCATAGTCCGCTTTATTCATAATCGGATTATAGTATATGTTGTAGGTGTGATACAAGTATTTACAACTCGTCACATTCAGATTTCCGCCTCACAAGGGCGCAAGGCGCTACTTGACTTCTTCTGACATGGACAAACTCCGGAGGACTACTTGTCGCTACCCAATGTGATCGAACTAAGTATTATATGTGTTTGTATCACCATAAGTGTGTCCTTCAAGTATCAATAACCTTATACAAAATTGATAGCACAGTGCTGCTGAAGGTTTTCTCAAATAATACAGAGTGTTAGTGTCTCGCTATCAATCAAATATATGTCACATTCGATTGAGGCTAATACGAGTACGCAATTTGGCCTAATGTACTACGTGCCGAATGCGATGCATGAGAACTTGGCTTTTGCCCGAAGCACTTGTTTGGAAATTAACGTATTTATCTGCTTACCAGTATGGCTTCATCGGTTTCTTGACAAGTCCATGGAACCATCCATGATAATAGAGCCACGAATCATCACACATCAAATGTATGTGCATTTGAGATCTTAGCATGTTGCAGTCTTTACATTAGTCACGCATATCTAGCAACAAATTTTGGCTGTGTTTGGTGCGTCTTTGCGCTTTGCACACGCTGTACTTCTGACACGCAAGAACGCAGGGCTCTTTATGCTACCTGGTCGTGAGTGCGGCCAGTCGTATTCTGCAACAGATTCGATCTACCATTTTTCGTATGTCTTTGACGCTAGTGACTATTTGATTTTTAAGGAGGCAGGAAAAATAATAAAACTGTAGGTAAATGGGGATCAAAAAGCAACATTGAAAGCAGCACCGGAAATCACGACGAGATACTATCATCAGCTTCACTCACGTATAACAAGCCCTGATCGATCACGTATTAGTGGCATGTATCTTCGATGATGCACTCACGTGATACCAAACATTAAGCTCTTGCACTTCACTATTATATCTATTCAAATATAATAAGACAGGTGAAAGATTACACAGAAATGTCAAATTGGCATTTTATCAATATTTATGGTTTTTTGGTCACGGAAAAGATGGTGCTTTACTTTGGATCCGCGGATATGTGTGAGTAAATATGTTTGAGGTTTTGTTTTGATGAACATTTATTTATAATTCTTACGGAATTAGAAATGCGTTTTACTAGTTGTCGTCTTTGTGGATGCGCGTCCAAACAAACCCGTCTCATCTAATCCATTTAAAGCAATAAAGAAGTGAGGTATATACAGGTCACGAAAACGATTCGCTATAAACGGTGGTTTGAGTTCAAAGATGCTTTAGTAGTATCTATACAGCTCTGTAGAATCGTGTCGACCCCACACATATTTCCAAATATGTGTATGGCAGTCTTATTATCAGTGCTGGTGTACGCGCTTACTTAAGTCCATCATAGGACTAGTAGTTCAGCATTCTGAATGACCACCACAAAATAAAGAATCTATTAAGAAATAATTCTCCTGAGACAGCTATAGCGCGATGGATGGATATCAATCAAAGCGCGGTAACCTGTATTTCTTACTTGTTTACGCAACGAAAAACTATGTAGCAATGACTCTAGGCTGTTTCGATATAACTGATACCACTCTAACATAATTATTGAATGAGACCCGACCAGGTAATCCCTTTAGCTTTTGATCTATAGCCATGCTAGAGCACAATGAGCAAATAGCGAATGTGACAGAGCGCTGCCAGTCAATGTGTATATAATCAGCGTTTGTCATTTGTCACAATTTTGCGAGATATCGACGATCAGATAGAATCAATCGGTCTTTAGCAGAATTAAACATTTGAAATATATGGTATTTTCCAAAAGAACGCATTAGTAGTGTATGCATTAGCATGTTACTGGATATCAATCCTATACATTATAATTTAGTCCAGATTTTTTTCCTTTCAACGCATATACTTGAGACTTCATCTTCTGTTACCCGATATGAGATAGATGGATACATCTACCCACCCGGTAACCAATGGGCCAGCTGGTCGCGTTTTTAACAAAACATGACTTTATCTTGTATCGTTTCCGACTACACCTTTTTGCATATGTTATAATATGCCATACACAAATGGGGGCATGAAAAAGTTATAAATGGTTCGATCCATGTAATAAGATTGCGCTATATGCGTATTCGGCTTTGTCGGCAT